ATGTACTAAAAAAACCTGCTTTTTCTTTTCTTTACTCTTACAGACCTGAAAATCTCTACCTCTCTCTTGAAAAATCCTTTTGCTCCTTTGGTAACTTTTACTTACATCTTGTGGTGTGATTTTGGTTGGTTGGTTGCTTTTGGGGGGGTTGTGCATCCCTTCTCCTCACAATTTTTGTATTTGTCCTTATTGGAGTATAACTTGGCCCAGGCAGGAAGGTTTTAGGTGGAAGTGTGTCGTGGTTTAACCCCTACCAGCAGCCAAACCCCACACAGCCACTCGCTCACTTGCCCACCAGCAGTATCAGGGAGAGAATTGGAAAACTCATGGATTGAGGAAAAGACAGTTTAGTAGGTAAAGCAAAAGCTGTGCATATAAGCAAGCACACCAAGGAATTAATTCACTGCTTCCCATGGGCAGGCAGGTGTTCAGGATCTCCAGGAGAGCAGGGCCCCATCACTCATAACAGTGACTTGGGAAGACAAACGCCATCATTTCAAATGTCCCACACTTCCTGCTTATTCCCTCCACTTTATATATTGAGCATGATGTCATTTGGTCTGAAATATCCCTTTGGCTGGTTTGAGTCACCTGGCCTCTCTGTGTCTTCTCCCAGCCTCCCATGCACCCCCAACTTCCTTGCCAGTGTGGAAAACAGAAAGTCCTTGGCTCTTGCAGCAATAAAAAACCACCTCACTATATTTTCAACCCTGTGTTCAGCACAAATCCAAAACACAGTCTCATAGTAGCCACTGGGAAGAAAATTAACTCTAACCCAGCCAAAACAAGCACAAATCACTACAGTCAGAGTTGATTCTGGCCTGGAATATGAATCACTTCCCTTGAAAAGAGAAGGGACATTTTTGCATGGACACTACTCTCTGATGTGGATGTTTGACGTGACTACCTGATGTAGTTTCTCAGATGTTTCTAATTAATAAGGAAAAAATTCCTGCAGTCAGTTGAACAGGAAATTGCTATTTTGTTTGCTACAAAAAAATGGAGCAAGTCACTTTGAACTGAGTAAGCAAGATTTTAAATGCTTTGACTTGGTTTGCACTCACAAAAGCAGCATGAAGACAGGGACTAGTTGCTTGTAAAAGTGTGACATTACATTAGCTTTGTTCCGAGTTAAAAAAACCTTGGAAATGTATTTGTAAAAGAGGTAGCAATCTCAAAGACATGAAGCTAATGAATTTGAGTACAGCAGTTGGGCCATCACTTCAGTGATGTGAATCACTGTTCAGTTACTGTGAATGTCTTGATGGTGATGAGAATCTCTCCAGCACTTGACTCCATGTTGTGCTTAGGTCGCTGTGTCTCATCATTAGTGCTTATTCCCTTCAGTTTAAGACAAATATGTCATGATCAAAAAGGACCTGTAAACCCAAAAGTATGCTGTACAGCTTGTTACAAAAGGATGAGAAGAATTTCTAAAATTATATTGTGAGAAACTCCTTAATAAGTTCTTAAAAATAATCTATTGTTTATTTTATTTCCATATTGCTGATAATCCACAAGGTAGTCAGTTAGGAAACAGGTAAGTATGGTACTTCTTCTCATGAAGATGGAACTCAACGGTCAATTAATTTTTTTTTCCCCACCAGAAATCCATTGTACAGAAATAATAGGATTCCCCAGCTGAGTAGAAACAGCAACTGTATCACAGGATAGCGTTATGTGAGTGGCTTAAAAATCTGGTTTTAGCCTCTGTTATAAGTAGTTGAGACAGCATTTTGAACTTTCAGTCAACTTGATGGGAAGGAGATGCTCTTGAAGCAGTTTACCTCCTGAAGAGAAAGGTTCAGAGGGGTGTGTGTCCTTACTAAAATACTCTACTGAGCTGCCTTATTCTGGTCCAAATCAAATAGAGGAGATGTGGGGAAGCCTGCAGTTGTACTGTTGGCCATTAGCAAGACTGTTTGTTGCTATGGGAACTACTGCTAAGAAACTGTACAGAGGGGGAAATGGAGAAAGGGAGGGGGGAGCTGGAAGGACATTAAAAAAGCTATCCAGTTGTTACAGAACAAGAGACAATCTATATCTGATGGCTGTGAACCTTTTGGTCTGAAATGGTTCATTTAAATAAATTCATGATTTCCAATTAATTCAGAAAATAAAATATTACTGAGGGAGTGTTAATTTCTGTGATATTTCAGGCAAAGAACCAAAATGTTGGTGCAGTTTTCAACGGAATTTTAGCTATGCTTGACTAGGAAGTCATTACATCACATTTATCTGTTTGGATGGGGGAGACATTAACAGCCTTATGAATATTCATGTCGTCTGGTTAATTAAGTTAATTGTACTGCAGAAGTGCTTGCACTTCCAAGGACAATTTTTTTCTCTACAATTTCTGTTTGGTACCTTCATCAGTCATGCTTTACATGACCTGGAGATACTTTGTCCCTACTGTGATGCTTATTGCACATCTCGTAGGGAGGAGGTTGTAGGAAGTTGTTTGTAATGTCAGGAAAATGGGTTGATATTTTGAACAGAGTTGTACTTTTTGAGTAATAAAATCTTCTTTGTTTCTGTTCAAAAAAATGCAGGTGACAGAAATGCTTGAATTGTATGGATGAAACCTTTTTATAGTAAATTGAGTAGTTAGAGTGAGAACTGAAAATGTGACTAAGTGTGTGAGGGGTGCAAGCCATACAAGGGCATCGAAGTTAGTCTCTGTAGTAATATGATAATGTTCAGGGGAACCATCTCGTTATTGGTAAATAATAGCTTGAGCTTACACAGGGAAGAAAAAGTTTACGTGGGAGGAGGAATAATAGCATTAATACCATTATTATTGAATCACCACCTAAATCAGAAAAGCTTGTAGTATTACTTTTGTTTTCACTTTGTTTATAGGCTGCATGTTTTTGTTTTGCTTGTTTGTTTTGGGTTATTTTGTCTGCCATCCTGCTTGTATAGGACCTAGTTAATGAGACACATTATTCAGTCATTATTTGGATCAAAAATGCTGTTAGGAATGTACTAAGAGGGGTTTTTAGAGAATGTGACAAAACTGTGCTTGTTCTAGATTTTCAATTTGTAGAAGGGTGAATGTGGTATTTGTTTTTTAGCACAGATAGAACTTGTTTTATCTTCCTAGGAGTCCTGAAAGGGTGGGATTTTTCTTTGTTTACTTCTGCAAATGTTGATGAGCTCCACAGATTTAAGAGAAGGATGAAATTACTTGTGCCTATCCTGTTTAGTAGAAATGAGATTTAACTCTCATTAAAGTCAGTATGAAGATTGGTACTGACTTCAGCTGTGGTCATTTGGTATCTTGCTGCCATCTGTATTGATAAATTACTCTTAAATGAGGAACTGGACTTTTAAGACGTACCAAGCCTGATCTTCAGAAGTATATTCTGCCTTGTGCTCTCTTATTAACTTGATCTTCAGGGACAAAGAAGATTTTTTTTTTTTTCAGAATAACAACTTCCCTGTTTCAAGGAAATAAACATGATTAACCTGACTTGTGATGATCTGCTGCTTGTGTGTGTGATTTCCTTTGTTTTGGAGAGATACCCATAACAGTTGATAAGAGTTGTAAAATTTTGATTAAAGGAAATACTTGAGTATTTTTGAGTTATATCTTTAGCTAGCTTCATGGCAGAGCAGAATAAGTTGGATCTGGAAGTTAAATCTCTGAAGTCATTCAAACGTGAAATGGTGTTGTGCATATACTTGTAATATTTTGTGGAGAATTGCTTTTTAGGTCAAATGTAGGGGGTTTTGTAGCTTTTAGATATCTATTACCTCACTGAGGATGTACCTCACTTCCTTTATTTAGTAGGAACCTTGAGAGCCTTACTCAGAGCTCCTCTCTCTGATGTTATGTCCACTTTCCATGAAGTTCTGCATTATCTTCAGAGACTAAGATGCTTCGGGGACTTAACAGGGGATCTGTGAGATACTGAGGTTTCCAGTTATTTTATATTTTTTTATTGAGAGAAATTATTGAAAAAAAAATCAGAGGATGTATTCCTGAATAAGAATGACATGATACCTTTAGAGCTTTGTAATTATGTACATCAGTCTTTGCAAATTTAGGGGTTTTTTTCTATCAATAGTGTGACACCGAAGATAGCAGAGTTTTGGGATAAACAAAATTTTTCAATCTGGTACATGATGCTTTCAAAGTGTATATTTAAATATTGAGTACCTCTTGTTTGGAATGTGATAGTCTTTCCTTTTCCTCTCCTCTCTCTCCTAATTTTGAAAAACAAGTTTAAATGCTTCCATAAAACTTTAGGCAAATGTAGCATCCAGAATTGTCTGTTGCTTCTGTAGCATATTAAAGAATTCAAGCAACCAGAAAATAATTTGAAAACATATGTGAGATCATTTCTTTATGGGAATGTTAGGTTCTAAATTCTTCTATTATAATTTTTGTTCTTTTAATTAAACTGTCATTGAATTATTCATCCCTTAATCAATGATATGAAGAAATCAATATTCTGCTTGGTGGCAGGCCCTGGTTCTTTATTTTTCTGGAGGCTCTGCTGCTTGGCTAAGAAATGCAAGAGATGACAAAAATCAACTTTAAATTCTGTTAAAACTATACCCATTTAGGAAAGACATAACTATTCCTTCTTCAGAATTTAAAAAATAAATTGATGTTTAAAAGTCAGTTGATACACGGTATTTTATGTCCTAGACATTAAAGCAGAAGGGCAAAATTTACATATATATCTGTTTCTTGCACAGGTAAAGTGCCTTGACAGGCAGCAAACAGGCAATTTTTGTAAAGCTTTTTTCAACCCCCTTGTTTTTTATGGCACATATGAATGAATTTGCAGAGAAGATTTTATAGACCTCTGGAAGTTTTAAAGGTTTTAATTTAATACTATTAAGGATTTCTGCTGCTAACAAGACTACGTAATTTATGGGGAGGCTTTTTTTTTTTTTTTTAAATAAAGTAACTAAAAATGCTCTCTGTTTTTTTCTTGTTATTCTGTGTCTCATATTTTTACAGCAGTTTGTGTTCACTTTTACAGGTACTACTAATATTTTGGCCCATACGCTCTATGGTATTAAGCATGTGGTAACTGCAGCATTGCACATCATAATGGGTAAATATTTTTACATACATAGTCAGATTTTAAATAATAAAGCAGCATCTAGCAGTTTGCCCTAATAAGTTGTTCAGTAAAGGCATAGCATTATCCTTGGTTGCTATAAACTATATTGTAGGGCTTTTAAACCCAAATGATTCTATCCTGATTTATAGTGGACTGGAAAGGTTATCATTCCTTGTGTATAGTTCAGTAGCAAAGGCTGTGGACCTCATCTTCTGGTGACTAAAGTCTGCCATGGAATAATGTCTAATTTTGGTGTTTGTGCCCTATTGCTGATGTTCTTTTAATGCAAAAAGTAACCTTTTCCAGACTTGATTGTGTGAATCTGTGTAACACACAGAGTAATCAATGCAACGATTGGTTGGATTATTTTAATTTAATGTACCTGCTGAAGACAATATGAAAACACTTGAGGAAGTGATTACGATTGGACTTTTCAGGAAAGTATTGTCATATTTCTGAGAAAGTAGCATTCATCTTTTTAGCTCCAGGTACAGTTCTTTTAAATACTAACAGCTTTATAAGAAAGCTTTATTAGTAGAAAAAACTGTCTCACTTGCCATTTGGTCTGCGCAATAAATAGGGTTTTGAATGTGGAAATGCTAAAAGGAAAAACTAAGTTGCTAGTGCAAACCTTATTTTTGGGTCTTAGGAAGTAGCAAATACTTAGGCAATGCTAATATTACTTGCACAACAATTTTTCTTTAGGACTTTTTTTTTTTAATAAAAAAATAGAATAATGGGGCATGTCCATCTTGACTATCTGTTTTCTAGACCTTGCAGTCAGCAGTGGAAGAGCCTGTGCTCTATTTCTTAAATAGTCATATACAAGTCTTTACAGCCAAAATCTAAAACTGTCTTTTTTATAAAATCAGAAACATTCAATCTAATGGAAACTTCCGAGGTTCTATTACAGAAAAAATGTACATACCCTATCTTGAAGAGAATTAGATGTTTATATTCTATAACTGTAAACATGAATACATTTGAAACCTGTGTTTGAGTGCCCATATTTCCTCCAGTAGGATGTTCAATCATTATAGATATTTGGTGAAATGGTTGCAAATATTTATACAAATATTAGCAATATTACATTTTCTTTAATACTAATTATTAAAAATATGAATAGAATTAAGAGTCAGACCCTTTGCAGCCTTATGAATAGCTGAATTTTCACTATAACTAGCATTTTCAAGCACCTGAAATGACTACTTTTATAGAGTCTTAATTATATCTTGATTGATTCTGGTTTCCATTAGTAAACTTGATTTCCTAAAGAAAGAAGAGTCTGGAGATTTTTTTTCTCCCAGCTAAATTACGTGACAAAGAGATATTAAGTTGTATTTCTTGTGCAACACAGACGCTATTTTTAATTTCTGTTCTTTACCTTTGAAATTTTAGGACATATTCAGGCAGTAGATGTCTGTACCTTCAGTACTCCAAGCAAGCTGTTAAGGTTTGGGTTCTCAGCTATGTTTGGTTTTGGTGCGAGAACTCTGGCTTTGGCTGAAAAACACCGTTGGATGCCCTCCAGTCAGCGGAAGGATTTTGCTTTTATCAAAACACTGGCAGATCTCAGGTATGTCATAAGATGTTATATTTTTCTAGTATTTCTCATTTTCTTGAGGAAAATGCAATAATTAATGGGATAAAAATACAGGCAGCAGTAGTTTAGCTATCTTTATTGCAGACAGGTTTAAGTCAGATGTGATGTATATCCCTCTTACATGTTAAAGAGGAGATAAATTCTGTACATTCAACATTGTCTTAAAATCATCTTAACTTTTATCAAAGTCTGTCTAGCAGTCAGAGTATTGGTTTACATGATAGTAAATATTTTCTAGGCCAGAGGAATGTGAATTATCATTTCTACCTCTACAAATTCCACAGGAAGACTCTCATGAGAATGGCAGGTGAGTAAAACTGAGTCAAACAATTCCAAAGCTACAAAAATATGTCTGTGAAGATCAAATTGTACAGTTTCTTAGTTTTGTTCAAATTTAATCAACAGGCAAAAACAATCTTAAAAAAAATATTTATTTTGACAACTACAAACTTGCACACATTGTAAAGTGTTCCCTGTAGACTACGGCAGTCTTCCACTCAGTAGTATTGATTTGTTCTGTTCCATTAATATGTTACTTTTTTCTAAAGTATGTATTGTTTAAATGTGCAAAAATTACTTTAATTATTTTACCTACATGTTTCCATCCTTTTAGAAAGAAGAAAGAGAAAATAAAAGAAGGTGAGTTTTTACTTTTATGACTATTTAAAAACCAACTGTGGCTGATTAACTGGAGTAATATAGAATTACTCTGTTATATTTAGGTAGCAAGGATCAATGGCAGAAAATTCAGGGTCACTTCCTGAATGTGAGCATTATGGCAATCCCTTGTCTGTGTTCAATGGCACCAAGAGGCTTGGCACCTAATACGAGGTCAGTATGGGTTTAGAGAATTAGTCATGTCTATAAATTCTGACATCTTACCTTAAGACCTTGGCTTTTCCGAGAATATGAGCCTATGTTTAGGTAGTCTAGTCCCTCTGGAATGGGGGAGGGAGCATAGACTGCAGCAGACTCGATAATCCCAGGAATTGTAATCAGTTTTTGGATCAGGCAAATAAGGTCAAGCAGTCTAACTAGAATAATGAGTGGATAATTGCTGTGATTGAATTAGTTGGCAAGTCTGACTTAAAGAAGTAGTCATTGAGCAATCATCTGTCATAGGATTTGGCTATATGTGGAAACTTCATTCTTGGATTTTATTTTATTTTTTCAAATAGAAAGGTGCCCCTCATCTGCTTTACAGCCAGCAAAAATGAAATATGAGTCTTTTCCCCATGCTATTCACTCGTGGGGTTTTTTTTGTTTGGGTTGTTGTTGTTGTTGCTAGGTTGTTTGTTCATTTGTTTTGTGGTTGTTTTTGTTTTGGTTTTTTGTTTTCCCTCTGAACTTGAGAAATATAGCTTCTACATGCAGGGTGTTTTGGGAAACAAACGAGTATGTAACCTGGTTGTTGACATTGACTCGTTTACACTTTAGCTCATTGTTGAGGGTATGCTTTGTGGTGGCCCAAACAGTTATTAGCTGATAAATATGTGTACTTGATGTATCCAATTGGTGATTAAGCAGAACAGCAAGTACAAACTTTGCAGTTGCTATTGTGCCTGTGTGCAGGCATGTATGTTTATCAAAAAAACTCCAGCACTCAGGAAAGTTTATGGAATGAGTCTGTTTTGTTTCATTTGATTATCATTAGGTGAAAATAGAGAAGAATCAATGAGGTGTTTTTCTTCTAAACTACTGGTTCAACCAGCAGATTTTGACTTCTTGGAAACAATATAGAAACAAATACTTATGATGAAACTCTCACTGAGAAGTTTTCTTTGCTACTGGGATCATGTTTCTCCAGATAGTGCCATGATGCTATTGCTTCTTAGGAACTTTATTCTCCATTTAGTGCATTTGTATACCAGTCAGCAGAAAAATTCTGACAAGAATTGAAGAAATTATTTTCTTTTAGCTTTGCTTTCTCTTTCCATGTGTTCTGGCCCCTGTTTCTCAATGATGAAATTTTGTGACTACTCCATGCAATTATTGCAGGTTTGAATGAGCTTGTTTCTCTACCAGTGTAGCTTCTTGGTGGATCTCCCTGTCTTTTCATGTAAGGACATCCATTGTCCTTTCATCTCTTTTTAAAAATAATCTTAGGAGTGAAGTCAGCTAGTAGGGTAGGAAGGGTAGACTTTTCAAACAAGTGCTTCACTTGTCACAGTGAATAGCATATTGATTGTATGTCTTTTCAATATGAGAAACATCAGTGTTGCACTAATTGTTAGAGACTCTAGACCAACTATAGAAGGAACTCAGCTAGGTTTCTTCTCTCTCTCCTATTTCCCCAAGAAGTTTCTGCCATGGGAAGACATTTGAAGTGGAATGAAAGCTTTGGCTGCTGCCTGTAACTCCAGTTACGCTGGTCTAAATTTGGAGAAACACGTCAAGATACATTTAACTGTGTGCACTGTGTGAGCTGTGTGGGACGTGTGTTTCTCACAGCATCAGTGTTGCACTTCACTGCAGATTGGGCTTTCAAGAGAATTAATGGGAATTCGTAGTCATTTTTGAAGCTGAAAGGCCACAGAGCTGAATGCATTGCCCAGTAGCCTGCTCTCCCTTTTATTGAAACAAATATGATAGGGAGGCAATTTTTTAAATGTCACCATCACTGTTTTCTCAATCAGCAAAGTAATCCTATGCCAGGTGACTTGTTTAATGTCTCTATAAAAATTACTCTCCTAGGCAGGAGATTTGTCTCTATAACTCAAATGGGATGTAGGCACAATTGAATTGAGATTTGAGTTGTTAGGTTCTGTCTCAAAATACACATGAAGGAATCTACAAATTGATACTGGCTCATTGTCTGACCCAAAATCTCAAAGATGCTAAAATACCCATGGTGACTGCATGCCTAGAACCACTGAGCATCTGCACCGTAGGGTCTTGTCTTGTTTAATCTCTAGTATGTGACTGTTTTATCTAGTACAAAATTCTCTTAGTCTTTTATGTGCTTTGTGAAATATGTAAATAGAACTGTACTAAGAACTACTAAGAGAGTTTGCATAGTGGCACAGTTGAAGATCAAAATCTTTGTGAGGGCAGCGTGAATGTTTAGTGGAGGGGGTGAATGAACCCATCTGCACTGGGGTGTACAATGGGGGTGTGCTTGCAGGCACTGTGGGATTGTTTTCTTGGTAAAGCTTTGCCTCGCAGCACTCTTGGTAATTGTTATGTTTCAATGGAGAGAAAAGTAAAAACATAAATTTGTGATCCCCAGTGTTTAAAAACCATCTGTTAATTAGAAAAGAAATGTTTTCTTAGATTATATTATTGTGTTCAATACATTATGGATATTGATAAGGGAGTAGAATTTTATTATTACACTGTATGATACAAATATATCTGATAAATAACCCCAATGTGTAGTTTAGATTGATCTATGACTGGGGCTTGGCAAAAAGATGTTAAAAAAAAAATTGACACTATTCTATTAATTTACTCTTGTTGGCTTTCTTTTATTTTCTTTTTAATCTAGACTGTTGAAGAGCCTGTCAAACTTCCAAATTAATGAATATTCTTTTGGGAACTAAATTGGTCTTCTTTTCAGGTTGAATAATGGAAGCATGGCTCTTATTGTTGTACAAAATACTTCTCGAACAGAGTTTATAAAGCATCTGAAAAGATACACCAGCGTAAAAAATCAGGTACTGTTAATTTCTTTCTGGTGATTATAAAAAGAACAGTTAATCACAAAAGTAGACAGGCTGCAAGAGTTAATGTTAGCATCCTCATAAGGAGACTTAGCTTCCTGTCAGAATACATTAGCCCCCTTTTTATCTGATTTTTTTTCTTTTTTTTAAATCACTAGACTAATACAGATTAGCCTATTTCAGTCCATCTGTTGTGGTTTAAATTGTATTTGTGTTGTACCATAGTTTCATGGGTGTAAAGCCCTTCCACCACAATAAGGAAATCCATGCTGTGTCAGAATTTTGTGTAGTACAGAGATCAAGAACACAGACTAGGGGGGCATCATGCAGCTCTGTCAGAAATTGGTAAAGTTCATAATTTTAGCAGATCACTGCATGCTGTGCTGGTGGCAGTGGATTATGAGCGTTGATTTTTAGCAGGTATGTATTCCATCTAGTTATGAATGTTTGCAGAACTGCATTTCAGAATTGTGGTCATTATTCTGTCTTTGAAGAGAAGAATGAAGCATCCAAACACAGATTTTATTGCTGTCCTAAAGACCCACTGCATAGCCTAACAAATATTCCAGGATTATGTGAAATTACTTTAACAGGAAGGTTGGTGTTTGAATTCATCAACAGTCAGAGAGTTTGGGGGAGAGGTGGATAAGAATTCCATGTGACAGCACTAACAGCTGAGCATAGGAAATAGTTTAAGCTTTTCAGTTATGCTTTTGGAGGAAGGCCTTGCTTTTCTCTCTGCCTTTGTGTTTAGAAATCAGACAAGGAGATGTAGGCCCTACTTCACATTTAAGATGACCATTTACTAGAGTTCTAACTAGCCTGGTTTCAGACAAGATTACTGGTAAAGATGAACAGAGCACTGGAAAAAATCTGCTTGGACTAAACACTTCCTGAAAGTATTTGGCATGTGCAAAATGTACCACCTCACCTGTAGATTGATTGAGCCCAATATGGGAATGCAAACGGAACAGTACTGTTTTTTATGAAGCAATACTTAGGATAAAAAAACCCAAGTTAATATATAAATGCTAGCTGGAATATATAATGGCTCATGTGGTCAAAGTTCAAGTTAAATGTTCCCATTTACTTTAGATAAAAAAAAAAAAGGCTAGCTTTCCAGCTTTTTAATTTCAAGTAATCCAGTATGTTGCTAAGATACCACCTCTATCTTTCATCCTCATTTAATATATATCTGTGTTTGGTTTAGTTCAATTTTCCCTTTGTTGAGACCTACACAGTTCAAGAAGTAAAAGTACAACCAAGGCTTAAAAGTGGACAGGATGCCAAAGAAAATACAGATCTGAATGCTGCTTCTGCAGAAGGAAATTACCCCTGGAATATAGATGGAGATTTAATGAAAGAAGCATCAGAAGTTCATGTTCGGTAAGGTTAAATATTGCATTTAGGGACCATATACCTCTAACAGATTAGTTAAATGTCTTGCTTCTGTATATAATACAAATAACATGAAAATTAGCTGCTCTTAGAATAGTACTGTTGTGGTTAGAAAGCAGCACGTGTAAGGTTAAGAAAAACATGTAGTTCTTCAATTGTGGGAAACTTAATGCTGCTTGAGAATAGTTTCCATATCTAGTATCTAAGAAAGAGGTTACAAATACATGGGGGAAAAGGAGAATTATCAGTGAAATGAAATGGGCAGTAGCTCATTTTTCTGCAATGCACACAGGATTAGTTGAAGGCACAGAGCTTGGAGTAGCAGTCTGGAATGTAAAATAAAAGGTAGATCTTGTTATAGGATATATGGTTCTAAAGATGACGCTATAGGAATTGTCAGAATGTAATTCACCCTGATTTATTTCCATATAGCAGCTCATACATATTTGTTCTTCCCCTCAACCTCAAAAAGCAGCACACCCATTGCAAGAGTTGATGATGTTTGATTAAGTTTGACTTCCTTGCTTCACAGGGTCCATCCTCAACTTATTGATCTCTACGGAGTGAACACTGATGACCTGGAGAGTTCCCAAGCAACGTGCAACTGCATATAGAAGGGATGCACTGCAAGTTCTGTAAGAATCCTTTTCTCACCTCTATGCAAAGTTTTCCAAGGTGCTGGACTTGCACTCACTGATGTCAGTTGTTGTAGCAGAAGCTTAACTGGGTTGTTTGTAGTATTTCTGGTTTTAAATTCCTATCAAGTTATATATTTTTACCAGGTTGTATTTCACTGTGTAGAAGCTGTTAGGCTTAACAAGAAAAAAAATGAAAATTGATTATATTGGTCTCTTACAAATTTGAGGTTCAAGAAGTGTCCACCAGAGTAGGAGAAAATATCTTTTTTTCTTTAAAGTTATTCTAGATTTTTTTAGTATGAGATACTTTTAAGTCTGCTGCTGCTATCCATGTTGTCAGATGACTCAGTTCAACTAGAGCTGGCAAATGTAGGTATGGTACCCCCTCATGCTGAAGAATGGTGGCAAAATATAGATTTATGTATTTATTTTTTTAATCCAGTACTTCTATTTCTAGTTATGATTTTTAATGTTGCCTTAATATATTTGCTTTCAAAATGTTTCTAGGCAAATAATATAAAAGACTATGCTGATATCCTTTACAACTTTTCTTTGTTCAAGTGTATTTTAAAAACTACTCTTTGTACAAAATAAATATTTTCTCTACCCTAGAACTGAGATGTTATTCAGCATAGTTTTCTGTGTTGCTGAAAATAAAATTATGATAAATAACTTATGACTTGACTTAAATGCTTCTAATTTCCTTATAGGGTCTAAACAAAAATTTTATGAGTGTTTTTTTGGTAACTTATTTAATACTTAATACAATTATTTGAGATGACAGCAAATTAAGACTATATTCTTTCTGGGAACTGGCTTTTTCTGAGATGATGAAAAGTAGCAGACCAACATGTTTTTCCATCTGCAGGACCATGGGGATAACAAATGTTTTCCTGGTCAGTCATCTATGAATCGTTCAGAAGGCAGCTGACAAATAATGGTATGAAAGCTGCACAGTCATGGCTAGAAGGAGTTGGTTTAAGTTCTTTCCTCAGTAAGCAGTCGAGTGTAATGTGAAATCCAGTCCTTTAAAGTTGTTGCTAAATCACGGGCTTAAGCTTTTACAAGAGATCTATAGCTACCATATGACTTTAAATACTACTTGTGAAAAAGTCTTACTTGTGCTAAATACACAAGACAAAGAAGTACTACACTTAAAGTACTGCAGATGATGAATTAGCTCTTAAGAACAAGCTGTTACCTGTTGTCTAAGTCACAGTGAACAGTCTCCAGTTAAAACTGATCCTGTATCCCATCAAATATTTTTAACATGCTGACAATTCAAGCTAATCTTCCTGAAGTTGTCTAAAAAGGCAATTCTAGCAACAGTTAGTAGATTTAACTGTAATTAAATAAGTGAAAATTAACAAAATAATTTAACTGGCAGAAGAAACAGCATTCGTGCATTTAACTTTTTTGGGTTCTTTTTAATAAAATGAAATCAAGTGATACTTTATAATCTTCCCACCATCAGGACATTGTACATTCATTTTTTATCAACTTCGTTTATAAAAGCTTCAAAATTTTGCTTTATATCCTAAGAACAGGCAGCCAACGTTTACATGTTAACAATCAAATCTGAATAGGAAGTGTACAGTTTCCAAGGCAACATTATCTCACGTACTGACTTAAGTAAACTGTTTCAAAGAGAAATAAAAAGCTTTGGTTTCACTTCTTTGCATTGTTTGTATGCAAAAGAACATTAATGCTTCTTCCAGTATTTGAGGTATATTTTTCACAGTAATGTCAAACTAATTTCTATTCAAAGGTTTTTTGGTTAAAGTGCAAAAATTCACTAAAGCCATATGGAAGATAAGCATTTTGTATACATTTTCAGACTTGCAAGAATATATTTCATTCTTGACATACTTTATTTTGACTTTTAAAAAAAATATATGCACATTCATTTGTCCTTGCACTGTAGAAGGTTTTAGAGGAAAACATACTTTGGAGTGATCCACACCTTTGGCATCAAATGCAGTGAAAGGAAATCAGAAAATGGTCCCCACTACCTTTAGAATCTGTGGACAACGTGGCTTTTATGGCACCAAGCACTCTATTAGCAGTAGCGCTTGCTGAAGGCACTCTTTGTAGCTTTTGATTGTCAGGCTAATTCCTTTATGATGGTGCAGCTTCAAAGTGTATGTACAGATGACAGACAGTTCTCCTTACAGTTCAGAAAGACATCAAAGGCCAGGCCAGAAAGGCCACGCTGCACATTGCTGTTGGAATAACTAATCGAAGGAGTTGTACATTCTCCAGTTGTACTGGGGAGCAAAGTAACGTTTTCTTCCCTGGATTGTACTATTTCACCAAAGCTAGGTGGCAGTGTGAACTTAGCTAGCTGAAGAAACTTCCTGCAGTAGCAGAGCAGTGGTTTGATCCATGTTTCTGTTCAGACATTTGCCTTCCCACTGCATGGCTGCTGAGGGTGCCTGTTTAGAGAGTATTTATGTGACAGCTTCACAAGAACCCAAGCTAGCTCTCCAATTGACTTCCTTATTAAGTACTTTCAGGTTAAGGTTGGTAGATCTAAAGATAAAATTTGGCCCATTAAGGTTGGCAGTTGGTGTCTCTTGGGTATGCATGTCTCTGTTTTGTCAGGTGAAGTCTGTCTGGTTTTTTTTTCAGGTTCTGGAAGAATGCCAGCACTAAATACTACTAGGATAAGTACTATAGAAAAATCTTTAAATAAATAAAAATAAATACTTGCTTTAAAAAACCCCACATAGAAATAATTAATTGGAAAAGTCCAGAACATCATGGCAGCACTATCTGAGGAAAGGATGAAACAAATAGTTCTGTCATGTTTGCAAGTACCATGTTAAAGATGGCAACAAATTATGATTTACAATGCTTTTCTCTACAGCTGCATATCCAGGCTACCCCACATAATTCCCTGCTCTGAATCCACCCTTGACCTTCCTGGTTCTGGCTTGCCTGGGTGTCTAAGTCTCTTCAATGATGTGGCTGTGCCTGTGAAGCCAAAGCTTATGAGGTTACCTTCAGAAGCCCGAGAGAGCTTCTGACAGCCCTCTTCTACATCCATGTGCTCTACTTACAGTCCTTCTATTGGTTTAAGCTAATTTACCTTGTTAAACTGCCAAAGCAAGATGAGAGAGGATTTCTTCTTGAATGTCTAATCCAAATATTATTGAAACTTCAAAATTACTAGAATAACTCATGCTAATGTGTTTGAAATCCGACTTTCCAGGATTGGCCAAAAATTATTACTTTCTCAAAATACTTCTTTCCAATAAGTAATTTTTCTTCTCTTTAGTGTTCTTCTGTCTGTTTGAAACCACATGTATATATATAGCATTTCAAATACTACTGTGAGACTTCAGAACCAACTGTTTTTCCACTTTCATATTAGAACAACAGTACTGTAAGGTGTAGTCCTCCATACAGTTCAAGGAAATAAAGTGTGTTTGTAAGAGCAAGTGCGCTCAAGGCCTAGTTTTCTTGTTGCTGATGTTTCTTCTGTGAATTAACCTGCATCTTAATTTCTTCATTTTAAAATCAAATGTTTATTTGCCATCTTAGTCATCTTTGTTCCCAGTTGTAAAACTCCAGCTGCCTCTTCTGTTCGTGTCTTGAGGGACTGGTTTGTATTGCCTTTTGAAAAAGCCAATCTGAAATACATAATTTTGGAATCTGTTGTCAGCAACTCTTGGTTATCAAATCTAAGTCATCATAAAAGATGAATGAAAATAAAAATACCTATGTATGGCATTTATGTATTATGCTATTTGCCATTGCTCTGTCATACAAAGTAATCAAGTGTTACTCATCAATCAAAAAAGTAGGTTTGCTTTTTCTTTTTTTACTTTTTGGGAGGCTAATGCTCTTCTGCAAGAAGTAAGGATATAGGGGCTTGTGAATTGTAACAGTCCACTGAATCCAATATATTTAAAAATGTGAAACAGTAATAAAACTTTCCTGTTAAATTTAATTTCTACACTTCCATGAAAAAATGATGGATGAAGAAAATCTCCACTTCGGTAAAGAAGTGAACAATCTCTTAATGGCTTGTCAGAGAAGCTGCATCTCTCATGGTTTTCTCTTTTACTTATGCACAGAATTTTTTTAGTATTTATATTGCAGTTTGAAATCTTGAACATTTTATTCTGGTATGAAACTGTTGCAGATTATTAGTCATCACATGTCAAGTGACAGTAAATGTGGAGCACCACCCCACAAAAATGATTCATTAAATTACACAAATAATTTGCAAACATGAGATGTCATATAAGGCACTGTAAAAGGATTTGTGGTGTTGAATAACAGAAAATGTAGAATATGCAGAAGATAAAATGGAGAAGTACTTTTGAAAAAACACAAGTTACAGGAGGAATTATCTTTCTTTAGAAAGGACAGATCATAATAAAATGTTATTTATCCTTTAACCTGCATTAACAGATCCAAAAATCCTCCAACAGTGTGAATTCCTGACTTGAGAACAACTAAGAAATACTGAAAACCTACCTTCCATAATATAAATGAAAGAAGCAAAAACAAGGTAACACCAATTATTAAGCCTATGGCAATAATTAGCACAGTAACATGGTATTTTGGCTTTAGGTGGTGCATTCCTTCCAAATAGACCTGGAAAACAGAAAATAAGTTTAGTGCTAACTGATTATTTTTATTTTTTCGCCCCTAAACAATACTAAAACAAACTAGGAAAAATAGTTACATTCTCAAGTAATTAATAGTATATTCATTGCCTGAGTATGGATATGCAAAGAATTCCACAATTTTAATTGCCGTTGGTTTTTCTACTTTAACAAGTTTATCACAAATTCATTAAGAGAATCCTTACATATGCAACTTGCTTGTCCTTGTGTAGTTCAATAACTTTTGCATTTTTTTCTGGCCAGGCTGTTGCTCTTACTTCAAACTTCAATGCTGATGCATCATCCTGATTAAAAAAAATAATTCTATCTTTTAAAAAATAACTTCAACACGTTGATTCCTGCCAATCAGAAACAGTAACACAGCTGCTCACAGAAACAGAATCTCATAAAAACACACAATGGTGCCTTTTTCTGATCACAAAAGAAATTAGACCAGAAGCTGGAATGAAGCCAGGTTGGATTTTACTTGAGTCCACATCCACACTGCTTTTCTTAGAAAAGTACAATTATGAGTTGAAATTAAATCCCAATCCCACATAACCCAACCAGAATAGGCAAAGCAATACATACCATAAAAAAAAGTGATAAACTAAAATACATATTTTTCAGTGGTTTTCATTTTTCATACAACACCTTGAGCCTTAGCATTGAAAACATAAAATAGGTTAAAACCCCAAAGCTTTATATTTAATCATACTGTTTGCAAAAATAGATTAATAACTAGAATTTGTATGATGAGAATACTGCAAATATGTCCTGAAATATTCCCATCAACTATGAAAAATTTATGTGTTACCATTTCTAAAAGTGAAGGAGTAGCCTCCAGATGCAACTGAACAGTCGCTTCTTTTCCACTTTCCATGTTGCCAAGATTGCAATGTATTTGTAAGCAAAGGCTGTCATTTTTCATGCAGTACTGTAGAAGGGAGGGAAAGGTTAAAACTAAAGTTATCGACTTTATAATCTTAGTATTAAAGACACTCAGGAACTGAGTAAAATAAAAAGATCTATGTTTGTTCTTGAAAACTGAGGGTGTAACTCCAGGTTGTCATCCATCACTGTCAGTCCATAGGTGCTAAAGGTACAGTAATAAGGGACCAACCCAATTGTTATAAAAAACATATCATTTTTCTAAAAAATTCAAGTTTTTGTAGACTGAAAAAGAATGATTTTCATAATTTGTTTATATGTTTGGTTGGGAGTTTTTTTGCACTGTTATTTCAAATTAGCTTTTTTCAATAACGATAAATGACAATAACTCTGTGCTATCCAGTACAAACAGTAAAATTAGTTGATCCTTACACCTGTACACTGACAGTGTAAGCTGGCACCACTTCACTCAGCTTTGGAGAAGACAAAATGTACATCATTATATTCTTTATCCAGCAGTACAATGCTGAACTACTGATTTGATATTCTAGTGCAGGCTGCCTCTGAATCCCTGAACTGGTATACCTTGTAATGTGCTCACTTAAAAGTCCCAAACTAGCATTTAAAAAATGTTCAGCTTTTTTTTTTTTTTTAAGATGAAAGATTAAAAAACACTGTACTTCATCAAAATCAAGTTGCAGGACACAGATTTCTGTGAGAACAAATCCTCAGCAGGGCAACACTAAAATAACAATTCTGATTTGGACGGCGCAGTCGAGTATCTGATCTCCAGCAGGGTCCTTGAGTAGGTACAGAGGGATGAGCTGGAACTGGCCAGGCACATATGACATTCTTCACAACCTCCCAAATATTTTTAATAAGAACTTCCCAGCCAAAAATGATTTCCATATATTTTGTAATTCTTATGGACTTTCAGTCCCATTAACTTGCAGTGTCTTTCTTGGAATTCACTTATTTTTAGCATCCATAACACCCTTAAGGAAGAACTTCAACCATGAGTACTACTTTTGTGGTTTTCTTACCTAGCTCCTACTAGTTACATTTGATGGCACTTTTTTGGTGTGGAAAAGACAGTATTTGATCTGCATACTTCATGTAATTAAGATAAAGCCTGATTCTGCCTCATGCATCATTTTCTATTTGTTATTGAATGTCCTCTGCTACCCTGTTTGCCTGCTCCTTCAGTTACACACCCCTTTGGCAGTTCTTTTTAGGTGACTGTCATCCACTGACTTCAGCAACGTGTCATTAATCAACTTTCTCATTTCAGTTCTCACCTCTTTTACTAAAGTCACTTATGACTACACTGAACTTACCACAGGTCCCACCACAAATCCTTGGAAGACTGCTCTGTTGACCTCATTATATAAGATGTACTGTTGTCTAAAGGCTTATTCATACAGTCATTTATTTCCCACTGATGCTAAAAGACAGACCTTACCATTTGTCTCTTAGTAGGCTTTGAAAAGAAAGTGACGACATCCTTTAATATATTTTCATGTTTTTCTGCTGCAGTACAGTTTCTGGAATATTTATTATAGTAGCACTCTCCAACTGTTGTCTGGAAATAAATATAACATCATTACTTTTAGAATTTAAATATCAGATCATAATCAAAATACAGATTTCTGAAAGGTTCAAAAGAAATATAAATTTTATTTTCAGAATTCTGAAACATATGGGGCTGAAGATAATCCTGTTCTTGTTCATTCTGCTTCACCACAGCTAGCAAATCAAACTCTTACCTAGTTGGCTATGCTCTGCTTCTCTTTTTCATAGAATTCATATAGCTAATAATATATGTTGAACCTGTGCTTACCTTGATATTCAATGTGTTGAATAATTTGAAGTCCCTGGGTGGAAAAGCATTTGGTATCGTTATCTCTAAGTTAGTGTTTGGAGACATGCTTGGTCCTGCACTGATAACCTTGTGGGGAAAAGTGTTATACAGTTAAAGCTTCAATGGTAGCTACTCAAGTAACAAATATATATATATATAACTACAAAAAGAACTTCACAGAATGGGGTAGCACCTGTGCTGTTATGCTGTCATGAAAGTGGGTTCTGCTGGGAGTTCTAACATTTAGTTTCATTCGTTCTGAAGGCTTACTGAACCCTTCGCTCCTCTGAAGCCAATGAGTAAGTAGAGCTAATCTGTGATGACTACCCTGAGGTCATACAGCCTGTTCCAGGAGAATATGGAAAAGGAACTAGGAGAGATTTATGTCTAAATTCCTGCTTTTAATCCACTGGAGACAAATTTGATACCTACAGATCCTCTTATAAGAAGCTCCTAGTTCCTTTTCCTTACTGTAAGATAATTCTTTTTTAAGTGTTTCTTAATAGAAAAAGTGGCAAGTCAAAACTGCTCTACCACTTTCAATCCTGCCTGTGCTAAGAATTTTTGTTCTGATCATTCAGTGGAAGATTTTCCAGGCCAAAAAAATGTGTTCTAAGAGGGATTAACAGCAACTTCCCACCTCCAATGCACAAGTTACTTACTGTGCCCTTGTACTCTTAAGAAGTTCCTTTACTGACTGCAGAGACTGTCACTAGATACATTAAGCATTAACCTTCAAAACAAGGATGACAGGATTTACAAAGGAAAATTCTTACATGGAAAGTGAAGTTGATATTCTCCTTCATACATGTAACTGGTGAATCTTTCTCTTCTGTTCCATAAACAAACACAGCTGGTGACACAAACCTACAATGGTTTAGAAGTTGTTAATTAATGGAATTGCTGTATATCCTTAGCATAACCTCCTGTTCCATGCTACCTCCAGTAAGATTGGTTCAAAGAAAATACCCAAGTTTGCATTTGAGTAAAGCTAGGAACAGAGAGTAGAAATCCTCTACCTTTGGAGTAAGAATTATCTGCATTTTTACTCTTCCCTCTTAAAAAGGCAGATGAATCAGAAAAATTCATAAATCCCAAAATACCAACCAACACTATGCTCCATGAATGTTCCACAACAAACCCAGAATATGGTCCATGTTAAGCAAGGAAGCTGAAGATCTGCTATGCTCTTATTAAATACCTCTTTATATAAAAAAACCCCCTGTTTTTAAAAAATATTAGTCTGTTAAGAGACAAGTTTGAAGCACCATAGATACCAAGGGGGTCTCATCTCAGAACTGTGGAAACAAAATCTTAGAAGTATATGGGTCAGACCCCAGGATAGCTGTGCCATGTCATTCCCAGGATTTTTCAGCTACATCACCTTCTGCTTAAAAACTTTGTGAATTTAGAGCAGTAACAAGACAACAGTTCTACAGATGTGCAGGTATGCCAACAGCTGACTTACCCATGAGTATTTAACTCAATCTCATATTTTAGAGGTACAGCTAAAGTTAGTGAGTTATCCAGCAACATGTTCCCATCTTCATTTTTACTATAAAAATACAATGAGAGAAAAATCTGTATTGAAGGCATCATCATATGCTATGCATTATTTCTGTAAACTAATACTAAACAGACATTGCAGCTTATAAAACCCAAAATATTTTATTGCTAATAACATGTCAGACACAAAAATCCCCACATTTTAGACAGGCAGAAAGCTGCTTATTATTTAAATATCTATTACCTGGTTTTTTGGATAATTTCTCTTGCTCTAGAGATATGCAACCACTGCACTTTATTGCAATTGTGCTTTGCTAAGTCTTTCCAATGTTCCCTAGTCTGTTTTCCAAAGCTAATTTCATTGAGCAATTTTTATTAGACTTTACCAGGTAGCATTAACGATGATGCTGAGGTCCTCCTCTGCTCTGGTAAAGGAGCTTGCATCCAAGAGGAAACTATAATCCAGCTGTAGAACAAACAAAATTTTGCTTATATATCATAAGACAGTTTAAATAAAAGTATTTTATTAAACTAATTTATAGTTTCCTGCTCTAAAAAAATTCAGAACTAAGAAACACTTGATTTTTGTGTCTTCTACTCTCTTTCTATTGATCTAACATATTTGTCTGTAGCCTCAGTCAGCTCACTTGTCTAGAACCCAAGCACAATCAGTTGATACATAATACATTGTTGTCCCTTAATGAATTATTCCAGCAACGGTTTAAGCAAATAATTTTAAAAGTAACAGGAGAGATACAGATACCAACATGATAAAAGATGTTAGTTGAGAATGAAGAAGAGATTCTGAAAAACAAGGGTTTTTTTTTCCTCCATCATAAATCCTCATAACATATTTAGGGTGTTTCTAAAGCTAGGAATTTCACACATTGCTTACCTTTGATTTTTGATCTACGTATAAATAACCAACACTGCACTCAAGTTTTACTGCATGAATTTCTTTATCTAACACATCACAATGTATCTGTTTTTCTTCCTAAAATAAAGGACAAATGATTAGTCATTAAAAAAAACCAGTTTTTTTCCCAGATATTTAAAATTACATGCACACACTGAAATTGGGTGCTTTATATTTTCCTGAACTACACATTTGTTATTTCACTGATGCAAATATACAGAACATTCATATAATTCACAACCACTTTAACATAACATTTTATATGGATTACTGTATCTGGTTATTTGTCTGCTGCTTGCTTATAGTGAAGTGAAGGCTCATGTTAAAAGCCAACCTCAGAAAGGTGGATCAGGGGGATTCTACAAAGACAACAGTTATTTTTAAAAGGCAGAAAGAGTACAGTTAGTTTTGTGACCTTTCATAAGCCTGTGTATTTGTGAAGAGGACAGATTCAATGAAATCTTTGTGATCAGTGAAAACATGATCATCAGACAAAAAGAAGCCATAACATCCTGAAATACACTTATAAACATATTTTTTATTATTCAAGTTGTTACTGAAATTATTTAAGTCACTGAATTAATTAAATTGCACTTGATTTAGGTAGCTACAAGTCTGAGAACTTAAAAACTGGTGTTTCGTCAGCTTTTTTTGGCAGAGGGGGATATGTGTTGTGTGGGTATCTAAAAAAGCTCAACAATCCATAAACATAATTTGAAAAATGCCTAACTGAGAAAGAAAAATACCAAAGGATTACTCTTTGAGGGATTTTTTTTCTTACCAATTCTAAAACTCGAATGAAATAAAGACCTTTAGGGATTTGAATGTGGAGGATAGTTTCATATGCATCATCTCCAACATTAAGCAGAGAAACATTCAACAATAAAGTCTTCATACTTCCAACAACAAGATATGTTTTCTTATCATGAGGCCTGAAAAATAATTATCATAATATAAATGAAAAGTAATTCTATATACAGCTTGTTTGCAAAAATTTTCCTTTGCTGCCCTTTTAATTACTTTCAGCGGGTTCTGACAAAGCTCTGTTGGAGATGTAAAGAAAGGTTTTACTCTCCTGTAACTGTTGACCAGTTATAAGATGGTCAACACCAGTACTGTACCTTTTAAAGTGGTTAATGCGAGAGCAGGAAAATTGTTATCAGCCCAGTTGTGCCTATGGCCTTTACAAGATCAGTCCTTCCCTTTACAGACCAGAATAGCAATGTACCACTGCTACAGTATTTTCAGACATTATTTCATAATTCACTCTTAGCACTCAAGATATAGGATTCAGTTAATGTGAAACTCATCACAAAGAGGGCAAGTGAACATGCCTAGCTTATGATCTATGTGATGTTCTATAATCATGTTACAAGTACAGACATCCTATGGGGGGCCAAAAGTAAACTTCAGCTTGACATTAAAGTTTAATTAAGACCTGTAGAAAGGCTGCCTAGAAATAGACATTTATCAGATATTCTGGCTTGAAACCAAAGCATTAGTCACTGAACACCTTTGGGAAAGAAGCTGGCACTGAGAAAAGCAACAGAAGGCAAAAGCACTGCATAAGCAGATAGGTTCCAAGACAAAAGCGAATTGAAGAATAACACAATGTTAACATTTCGGTAGCTTGTCAAGTTTAGGTTAAATTTTAACATTGTTTTACTAGTTATATGCCTACCATTCGGTCCTCTTATATGTGTTAAAGCCAAGCTCATTAACAATATGCTGTCACAAAGATGCCTCTCAGCTTAACACACAAGTACACAAAAGCACCAGGTGCACATCTGGGACTACAACAAAGCTGAACTAGAGCTTTTCCCTGGTAATCATATTTCATTCTTCATTAAAAAATGCATGATGCAGACTAGAAATTTACAGACCAGGCCAAAATCTAAGCAATTTAAACAAAACATGATAGTGTATACATGAAGACTCATAACTCAGTAAGTAAAGCATTACATTGCCACCCCTATTTGATTTCATTCTTTTAAAACCGGAAGTGTTTGCTCTGCTCTTCAACGACAATGAATGCATTCTGTCTAGACAAAATAAATTAATGCTTCACAGCTAACTAGTTTTTAATCGAGATTCTAGGGGCACAAGGTAATTTAAGGTGATACTTCACACTTTATCAAGATATTTAGACTATTTATTTACACTGCAAATCTGCTACTAGTACCTAATGTCAAGCAGGTGTGTTGTAATCTGTTTTCCTTTCTTTGAGTTTTGAAGTACTTACAAAACTGCATTGCTAATTTCATGAACGAAAATGCTGCACAATCTTTCTTTCTGAAAAGTTTATGAGCATTCAAATAAAATAACCATCCAGCCTAAGAAAATTAAAGGCTTATGACTCATGCTACGAGCCATGTGTTAAAGTAGGCAGCAAGATACTCATCTTACTCTGAAATCTATGAATATGAAAAAGCTTGTGCTCAGGATCACACAGGTGTGATTAATCAGCATTATATGATTGTCATCATCTTTCAGTGTCATTTTAGGTTGTTTAACCTAGTATTTTGATTCAAGTAGAATCAATTTTAAAAGTGATAAATTACACAAGAAACAAACACCTAATTAGCTGAGATTCACAACAGGTAAAATTTCTCTTTTTGCACACCAAAACCCCACATTTCTTACTTTGAAATACAATAGTCAGTAAAGAAAAACGTTGTGATGATAAAATATAACTTAAAATAATTAAGTGGCTCTTTTTCCTCATTTATTTAAGAATATTACATCTTCAGTTTTATACTGGTTGAGACTTTGTACAGTGCAAATACAATATCTTCAGAAGATCAGCATAAATAACCAATAGTTTGTCAATTTAACAGTAGTTATGATCTCTGCATATTGAGTGTGCTTTGTGCAGTGTATCTTAGTCCAGTTATCTATGTTTTTGGGAAGAAGATGTATGTTGAGCTGTAAAATCTTCTAAATATGTAGTAACAGTTCTTCAATTATATAGATTTCTGTTACATTTCCTGGAAGATTTATGATTTAAAAATATTCTTCAACTAAACACAGCTCTAATCCTTGTATTTTCTCAGGGAGTCCACAGTCTACTTTTGCAAATTCATGTTATTTATATATAAAAGACTAAGGAATAATTAAGATAAAATCTGACTGAATCATTCTCAAAACAACGAAAGCTACATTATACTTACTTTGGAAAAACAACTTTTCCAGAAACTCTTAAGTCAGCAGAGCAATTTTCTTGGGAGCAATGTCGTGCAAAAATAAACTGTAAAAGCCAAATTAAAAAAAAAAAAGGCACTTCAGTGTATTATTCAGTAAGAGTATTTAACAGAAAGAAACCTATCATCTAGTAACTAAGTATTTGGAAGTGTCTGATAGCTCTTACTCCTAAAAAGCAATTCCATGAGTCTATGATTTACCATTCTGTGCATCCAGAGTAACAGTGGAGAGAGAGGCTTTCCAGACTCAGTGTCTCACAATAAAACCAGTGGGTGTACGTTCAGACAAATTTTTAAAAGTAGTACATAAAGAGAGCAGAGTGTTTTAAAAGATTCAGAACTGATGTCTCTGCAGTCTCTCCTTCAACATAAGATTTTCTTTACACAACCTTTACTTACCATATTGTCAGAAAGGTTTGATGAGAGTAGCGACACCGTAAGTTGCATGTGTCTGTGCCTTGGTTATCAGTGTGCTGCTATAGATGATGTTTATGTCACTATATTCAACAACACCCTCTTTATTCTCTATAATTCTGAGGTTACTAAAATAAAGTTTTGAACGAAGATGAAAAGGTAAAGTGTGCCATATGACAGAAGCTTTCACATATCTCAAAAGTTCTGATGGTCAACTGTATCTTAATTACATGAAGGTTACTATTTGTGAAAAGTCATCATGTGTTTATGACCATTTGGTAGTTGAAAATTCAGTGTATTCTGGTTTTTGCTAAAGTCAAAGTCTACTAACACAATAAGTTTCTTTTGGAGGGTAAAAAGTTAATTTCATATTTATGAGAGGATACAGAATAAACTCTTTTGCTCCCCCCTCAGACTGTGTCTGAAAACTTGCAATACCTTCAAAGAACTAATATTTCAGCAACATTGTCAAGAGACTTCAAGATTAATACCAACATGATATTGTGTATTTAACACAGAATTAATTTGAAAGAACTGTTTTATAGTGGAAAGTGACTCATACAGTGTAGCTGTAAAAGAATACATATTTCAAAGAGTAAATTTCATACATGTGTGATCTGAGGTATATAGTATTATATATTCAGGCAACTTCTCAGCACATACCTTTTATTTATTTTTAAATCATAATACAGATTGTATACAAGTTCTGTAACCATCTTTTAGCAAAAAATTAGGCATTTTTTTAGCATTGTGATTTATTAATTAAGGTCAAGGCACTAGGTGTGGGTCTGGAAAACACATTCCTGGAAAATGAATCCCATGGATCTGTGAAGCATTTTTAACTGAAGACTAAAACACAAATATTTACTTACTACATAGAAAAAAAAGAGAACTCATACACTAACCTTGCTTTTTATAATATCTTTTTCCTTCCTCCGTTGAAGAACAGGTTGAAGTGGTGAAAATTCTTGAGCATTTCTTTTCTGTAGAATATGATGCCCCAGACGATAACTGGCTTCAACATATACAGGAGTCAAGATATCCCTTACATCTTTCTATGAAAATTGGAAACCTAATGAGTTAATCATATAAGACAAGACATGTATGCTTATGCTTTAAAGTTATAAGGTTGCCTAGAACTAACTAAAACAGCAACACTTTTTTTTCACATGTAAAATAATTCCATATGGCTCATATACTTTTCCAGACATCTCTGCTGCTGAAGGAGGTAATCAGAAACACAGAAAAGCATAATCTGTTCAATGACAGCATCAGACATTTCAGAATGGAAGATTCTTCTGTTATGAGAAATCTTATTGAATAGTGAACCTACTTCTGTCAATAAAACTGCCTTACACACCTATGAAATGCTGTACTGCCCAAGCAGAAAAATAGGGAAGAGTTGGCTAAAATGGAGAAAGCAAAGCAGTGGGATAATGCCAGACAAAACCTGTGGGTATTTCTGTATGAAATCAAAAGGAGTTCTCCAATGGTACCATTGAATCAGGGCTTGACTGAATTTTACTTTTATGCCTCTTTATTTCTCATTCTGTGTTAAAAAAGATCAAACCCCTCAATAAATGACTGTTTTGTAAATGAAGCCTTGACTGCATAGGAATGTTGCAGATCAGAGTCCAAACTACCTACTTGTGAAAACTGAACAGCTTGAAGCACCAAGTACTAGCAATAGCAAACCTGATTAAATTATTCCCTAAGTGTAGGGGATAGATAGACACTGATTGTCCCTCCACATGGGCACTACTTTAATTCTTATCTGCAAGCTTGTGTTAGCAAAACTGCATATTATCTAATTCATAATAATTTTCCACAAGGTCTTCTCCGCATCTGCTTTATATTACTTCCATTATACTAATTAGCTATTAATTAGCCTTTACTCAAAATACATAAAATTTGTATTGTCTCTTACAAGGACTGTACTTGACAGACATTCACACTTACTTAACTTTAGGAGCTTCAGTGGGTGGAAGGAGATACTTATAATGCTATTAATTAAGAACTAAGAAGAAAATTGAATTCTATGGAGGAAAAAATACTAATGATAGACTATAGGAAGTGATGAGCCAAATCAATTCCTTCCTCCTACACAAATGCCTGTGATGCTGGTACAGCAATCTGTACAAGGTTGGCTGTCAATCAGATCTCTCTTAGTTTACAAAACTCTTGTAAGTAAGTGGCAATTTTCCATTGCTCCTGTAAGAAACATTCACTTAGGTGCAACTACCAGTTGAGATGCATCTGGGCAATTTTCCAGTAGACAACATAACCTTTCCTTTCTACCCAGAAGCTTTATCGTAAAGAATTGGCTTCTAATGGTGTCATAAACAAAAAGTAAGTGAAAGGAAGAAGGAAGAAAAATACATGGAAGGATTTTTCCCTGCAGGTTTTTTTGTAGCTGTAGAAAATTAAGTCTATTTTCTAGCCTCTGTGCAGGATCAACTGCATCAGTCACCCTGAGAGATGTTCGTTTCAAAAGGTCACAGAATTGCTACCTTGAGGATTTTAAAGAAAAGGCTAAGCAAACTAGTCTATTATTTTATTACCCTTGTTTCCTCTTACAGCTAAATAATCCCTGTCCTTAGTATTTCTTTAAAGAATTCTTTCCCCCCTTAGATAAGGTCTTAGAGGAAATAAGTCTATTTTTTTCTAAGTTTAATGAAATGTGGTTCCTTTTTGCCCATTGTTTTTTTATTGTTTGTTGTGGTTTAGGACTTCCAAGTTCTTCCCATTTATCCTCAAAATTTTGTTGGAATACACAAGCTTCTAAGATGTTCGACAGAATTAATCACTTTTACTCTTCCTTCTCCATTGAATGGCCTTAAAAATATTACATCCTTGTCCTGATTTCAGGTTTTTTTTCCACTTTCAAGACAAGTCCCTCATTCATCTTTCAGAGGGATACATCAAGCATGAATATGGCAGTTCAATCCCTCCAGGGCAACAGTGACTTTGGGACTACTTTGCAGTTAGGATCTTACTGACTAGATTCTTAATAACTTATTTCTAAGTCACTATCATACTCAGTTTGAAAGGATGGTTGCTGTTGGATCAAACTCTACTTCTGAAACCAAGAGCCAGCTTCCTGCTGCTCAGCAGCTGGTGCCATCTCTGTTACTGGTGTGAGTACAGGCCTCCCTGGCCAGCTGACACCCTGCAGGTCTCCAACAGCCTCCTGCTGAATGCCCAGTGCTCTGGCAGCACTTCTACCTCAGTGACTTCTCTTCTGAAGCACTTCTACCAGCAGATTTCTTCTACAACAAAGTTGCCTCTACATCTTCACAGACGGAGAACTGTAACTGTGTTCACTACAAAACTCATGCAGGAGAAAGACATATCTGTGCAGGCTTCACATTTGTAAGCACAGGAGTAGAGAGATCATTTTTTCAGCACAGTGCACATTCTCCATATTGTTCAGATCTAAGTTCATTAATGAAACTCTCATGAGTGCTCTTCCTGCCCTTTTCCATCTTTAGCTTATATGAATATTCCCCTTGGTGAGTGCTGTATCCCTTGGAGGAAAAAAAAAAAAAATCAAACAATCCCAAGCAAGTGCTCTTCTTCACACCCAGCTAGCCTTCGGCTCCTTGCAACAAATTCACAAAACAGACCACATTATAAACCTTGAAGTATAGACTGTTTTCTAGCAATTGCCTTCATTTCACTTCCTATGGATCAGGGATGGGCTCTTTTCTTATTAGCTGAGTCTACCTTAACTTCTCACAGTAAAAATGGGAGCAAGACCATACATGTGTTCTTTGAAATAGTTACAAATGACAAAACATAATAAAAATCACAGGTTTTAAGATTTTGCACTAAGGAGTTCATTGGAAAGTTCCATCAGAAACATTCAAAACATGCATGTTACACTGTATCTTCTTGGTTGCTCCAAAACGGCCTCACTCTATGATCTGTCATTCATAAAAAATGGTGAAAAACGTCAAGACTGCTCATGTCCTATTTCATCACTGTGATTATCATTATTCTGCACTTTCTTACCAACATAAGAGATGGCAGACTCTCTGACTTCTCTACAGAAAGCTGAGAAAGCATCAGAATTAGTATATAATAAATGTGGAAGTTATGAACACAAATATTTTACTTTCAAAATGATGTGATGCAATTGTAAACAAAATAGGTTTCTTTGCAGCAAAGAAACCTTTCCTTGCTTTTCAAAGGAGACCAAAGGATTTACAGGACAACACACACTGAAAATTACATTACCCTCATAAATGCTGGATGATCTTTGCAGGCAGTATTCTTGCTATAAATCTTTACTTTTCCTGAGATTGTATCAGATGTTCCGTTGGAAGAAAAATAGAACCTTGCTTGTGTATCCTCTTTTCTGGTCACATCAACACTCAGATTATAAAGCAATACTGCAAAATAAAACCCAGGGAAAATAAAAGTTGTAAAATCTTTAGGTGTTCTGATTTTCATGAATTTATGATAGAAATTACATCTTCTGACTCACTTCCTCAAGCATGTTCTGTAACATCCATTTTAAAATGCTCTGCTTAAAAATGCTCTGACATAAATCCATACCTAATGAAAGTTTCTCATACTCTGAAAATTGATTGCTTCATGACTGTTCCCTGATACATGCTTTTACATCAGGGATAGTTTTATCAGGTTATATTTATAGTTTTCTACCAGAATCTATTTAAAGAAAACCCACTTCAGTTATCTGACAAATTACAACAAACTGGTAGGTAAACAAACACTGACAAATATTGTTGAACTTCACAGGTTTTTCTATGTAAGTTAGCACGAATTGCTATGATAGCAAGTTGCAGAGCACTGCTGATCTTTTACTTAATCTTTGCCAAAAGTTGAGCTAGATTACCTACAATTTCTGCTACTCTTTTTATGAAGTTGAAGAGTCTCATGTCCAAGTCCAGCAAGCATGATCCAGTCTGACTGCTCATCTTTCAAAGTGAATATGAATATCAAAAGATCTGGACTTGTAACTCTACAGTTCATCATTGCAATATGTTCTCTGTAACGTGTTCCTAAAGGATATTTTATGTTCTCACACAGAAGAGTTAAACAATTTAATTTTATATACCACGTATTTGCAGGGCTGTTTGCAGTTTACAAGTAGCACACGACAAGTAGGTTAAAAGCACCCAGGCAATAGTCAAATTTAGACTGTAAATTATCTTAAATAAATTCACCATGAATATTCTTCTGATAGATATTGCTTCAAGCAATACTGTTTTTTTGTCTAAAGCAAAACAGGCATTATATAAAAGATAATACAAGATATATTTTTCAGTAATTTTGGTGGGACTCCCTCTCTTTCATATCATGTTCCACGATGGTATGATCAGGTGCTTGAGCTACTTTAGGAAGAAATTGTCTTCTCTCTATTGCTAAGTGGAAGTCTGCATCCCACAGCAGTCCCATATGGTTTGGTCCATGCCTGGGAGGACTGCTTTTAGAGGACATCTCAACTTTTCATTTTATTCTGAACTCAGATTAATGGTCTACTAAATACCAGTAGCATTATTCTGGAAATAGGTGCATTTATATTGAATACATATACTGTTTTTTTTTTCCCAGTAGCTTACCAACATAACCAGGTACCTCTCGTCCTCTATAGGTAAAGCATATCTTCAAATTCATACAGGTGGCAGGCTGGTCATTTTCCATGCAGTTTAAATTAGTTCGATTTATTGAATTAGGATGTTTTAAAGAAGCTTCAACAATTATCACTGGTTTTGTTCTAAGAACAGAAAAGAGTAAATGCTCACAAATAATGTTCAGAAATAGCTTACACAATCTGTGCAAAACGAACCATTTTTGACAATCTATTTTTATATTTTACCATCATCATTTTTAAGCTATTTGCATTTTTTAGATAGCTTCAAATAGTTCTATGTGCATTATTTGTTGCCTCAAGAAGTTTCAGATATTCAGAAAATATCAGAAAATTATATTTTCATTTTCTTCAAGGTGTTTACTTAAATGTTTGATTTGTAGACCATTCTAGAGCCTAATGACTGAAGTTCAAGACATCAATAAGAATATAATGAGGTTAAATTATACTACTGAGTTTTACTAAACTACACTAAAAAACAGAGTTAAATTGTATGGTCTTCAAAGGCACTGAAACATAGTGATCTCACCTCAGCACCACAGCAGAATCGGAGAAAAATGCACCAACTGCTACATCTGTACAAAAAAAATGTATCAATAAGCATAATTTGTCAACAAGAATTACTTCTCAGGTACAAGCATTTTATAGCATTTTCACCTTTTTGTCAGCATTAAAACACCATTTGCCCTTTATTTATAAGCAGGGATATGCTGATATTCAAAGGTCCAGACAATGATTCCTGAAATACTTGTCCACTGTCCATTAACACTGCATGCTCATTTACTGGACTTCCAGATATTGATAATGCTATGATTTGATTTCTATTCCATGTTTAAGTGGCAGATAATGAAGGACAATTCAGCTAAATAGGAGGCACTTGCCTTCTTTCTAATCCAGATATTCAATATTGCTAAACACACACACACACATATATAATTATATATGTATAAAAAATGAATTGCTTATATATATTATATGCATGAAATTATACACAGAGAGAAAGAGAAAAATTATTTAATTTATTCCAAGCTCACTGAAACCTATTAATGCGACAAGGAAAGAAATATACATGGTATATATACACACCTATCAAATGAGGTAGCAAAAGTGAATTGTCAGATGACTCTAAACAATACAAGGGTCTGAGGATATGACTTGCAAATCAGTAAACAACAGGTGACCTGAGAGCAGACTACTTGTAAACTATCTTTTAGCCCAGCACTACAAATTAAGCTGGGTAACATTTCTGTGAGCAGAGCCAGAGCATACACCATGCAGTTCATGGTAACTTTGTGCTTTTACATCCGCAGGGGCAGGATAGGCACACTTGACCTGACATGACACTAATCTGCAAAATGTTAAAATATTTAAAATATAATAAATATATAAAGCAATTAATGTATACTTGGAAACAGCTAACTTGTTTTACACCAAATTAACACTACCATGTTGTGCCCACAGCAACTCCACAAGGGTCTTATTCAATGCCATGAGCCCGAAGAGGGGTTAACGTGTTGTTCACACAGAGTCAAGGAGCTCATCGCTCCTGGCAAAATCCGGACTATGTGAAGGCCAGTAAAATACTTAGGTTGGCACACTAATCTGCTCAAAAAACATGCTTCCAGCGCCCAAAGCAGCTCATTGTGACATTAGCAGATGAGATAGCTGCTTTAAAAATAAAAATTATGTTTTTCTTACTCTTGTGCACTACGATCTTACTATTGCATTGTTCTCAGTCCTCAAATAATAGTTAGATGACCGTGAAAATTGACTGCTTGGCCTCAGTTTTACCTCTTCTTTTTTCTTTCCAAAACACAAGATGTGACATGTTGTCTTAATAACAGATCTTGCTTTTGTTAAAAGTATCAAGTAGCACAGTAGTGTTGTTCCCTATGAATCTCTACTTTTTTAAAAATGAAAAATAAAGAACATTGTTTAATTTACCTTGATATCCATTGTTATCTGCATCAATGCCACTTGCTATGGATTGTCCAAACATGCTTAAAGAATTACTGACTTGATGTCCTTGTATTCTCTGAGGAGGAAAAGGTAAAAGATAAAATTATTCTTGGAAAGCTAATCTCTGAGCTACAATGCTATCCCAGCTCCTGAAGGCAATTATGTGCTTCCTCAATTCCTGCAAATGTTAAGTCCCATAAACCCTGTCTAAAGCCCCAAACCCAATTTATTTCTCTCTTAGAGTACAGGTTATATTATGACTGGAAATCACAGATTACGTAAAAATTTTCTGAAGTCTTTTACAGTACTTCAGGTGGTCATAGTGTTAAATGAAGGGAAAACCCTCTCAGATTTAAACTTAAGTTTTTTCTGGATTGATTATTTTTCATTGAAAAAGCTTACCTGTGAAAACGATGGTGTTATTCCATCTTCCCTGCCATTGTAAATATAAATAGCCCCTTTTAGATTATCTTCATGTGGAGCCCCAATTGCCACATCTGTGGAAAAACAATTTAGCAATGATCAGCTGAGTAGGAAATATGAACAAGGAATGGTTAAAGGAATGCAAGTCATGATGCATGCAATGCCAGACCAAATTTACTTGACTGAATTCAAAAACAGTGCTGAACATAGATACGAAGAAAACAAAAACAGTAAAGAGCAGCTCAGTAGTCTGACTCTACCTGAATTGCTATTTTTCTGGAAAACAAGAGTCAAATACAACTATTTTGTTCAAGACAAAGTCTTGTAAGTTTCTAGCAATACTTATTTTGACCCTTAAAAAGTGTAAAGGCTACCATGAAAATAGCTGAAATTATAATTTAAAATTTAAAAAAAAAAAAAAAGAAAAAAAGCTTTGTATTCATGGAACTGTGATGATTTTCCTGCTCGTCCTACATGGATTATATCACTAAAACACAAGAAGTACTTTTATTACGCTGCCTGAAATGAACCATTCATTTTTTTATGAAATGTCCATAACAGTAGATAACAGGCTTGGAAAGGCATTTAGGGAGAAAGTGAAGGTAGCTGGTTTGTTTTATGCTTGGATGATTTAATCCCAGAGGGGTGTGGCAATTCACAACAAACTGAATGAACCTACCCACCCACCAATCCACCTCAACAGCCCTTACCAAAAACTCCCATGGTTCAAAGAGCCTGAGAGGTTGTTGACCAAACAGTGGAGGGAGGGGCACATGAATTACACCATCTTGAAAGTCACTATTAATAACTGTGAACTTGTATTTACAAATAAGCAAAACTAAACTATCTGCAAATCAGAAATACTGTATATTGCACCAAACCGAAATCACAAGGAAAGCAAAGCTCTGACTATTTGGTTTTACTGAACACTTCCTTGACTGAATCCATACTGTGGTGACTACAACACACAAAATATGTTATGTCTCTCTACTGGTGTGATGAAACTAGTACAAGTCAACTTGTGCCTACTAAAATAACATACACGTTCTTGAGGAGGTCAGATTCTACAGCAACACACATCCCAGTGTCTTCACAGGGCTGATACTGATGTTTTAGATCATTTAGAAGTTCACTCTGCTGTTCTTTTTTATTACTTACTACAGAAAATTGGTTTCTAGCATCCAATTTCCCTATATATTTTGCTTCCAGCTTTTTTTCTTACAAAATTTCTTTTCCTACTGCCACTCTCAACATTATGTCCACTTTTTATTTTCCATGTTTTTGCTCCCTTCCAAACCTAATCGACTTGTTTGCTCCGCCTCCCCTGCAGTTTTAGGATGCCCATTTTACATTATATTCTGTGTCACATATCTACTTTGCTATGCTGCTATTAATTTGATTTTACTTCTCTGTTCTCCATCCCTATATAGGGATTCAGTTTTCTTTTGCAGAATGCAAATGTTTTGGGACAAAACCTGAAACTTGTGTATAAGACTATGATTTCAGTATTGGGGCATGGCTATTGATGTCGTTCCCTTTGTTTCCAGTTCTCTGGGAGCACATACTAGGCAATTCATGAGTCACCTGAGGTCCTAACTGGGAAGTAGTTCCACAATAGTCTCCCAGCTTGAAGGTTGTTTTCAATATCTCCATATATTTAGTACTTCTTATTGGTGACACAGAAGCAGATCTAGACTCAATGTGTAATTTTTATTTATGATGTTACAAAATTGCCAAATTGTTCCCTAACCTTTGTCTCAGATATCTAAAACAGGATTAGTTTTGAGGTCCAGCACCAAAAATTACAGACTGTTATCACTTTATACTTATGCTCTTCATTAAAGAGACAGAACCTAATTCTTGACTGTGAAGCAGCTCTATTTCAAGTCAGAAAAAAAAGGTCAAGCCCCAAACTTAAATTATTTTGAGACTTCCAAAATCCTCCTGTCTATCATGACAGTCCACTGATCTAAGAGAATGAAACCCAGGGGGTTTTCTTTGTATTCTTACCTTCAAAACCATCATTATCTATGTCTCCTAGGTTGGCTATGGACTCTCCAAACCTCGCTGCATATGAGTCACTCCCACTGAGCTCTATGTTCAGTTCAACCATCTTTGCTTCCTGAAGGAAAACAGAGTCAATGGCACATTACAGAGCATCTTCCAGGTGACCTGGAACATTACTCAAAATGTTAAAACTGCCTTGGTTCCCAATGTATCATCCTACCAAACTCCTTGGTGTAGAAGCAAGCATTATCAAAGATATTTCACAGTATTTAGTGTAAGAATAATAAAGAATAAGTTGCTCTTTAAGAAAGAGAACACCAATGTGTTCCCACAGCAAACACCTGTTAACAGGTGCTGTTAACAGCAGCAAGCTTATATCAAAATACAGAGCCTTACTGCTCTGAGAAAACTGCATGCGCTAAAAAGGTAGTAAATAGCTGCTTCAGAGCAGCCTTAGTGAGTTTTAGGTATCCTGTAGTGACTTAGTTCTCTGTAAGAAAAAGTTAAGAAAAGGTTAATAGCAAGCATAAGAGAATAAATACGTATTAGGGTGAAAAGGAAGGGAAATAAGACATGAAGATAAAATTTGGAAAGCCAGACAAATTCAAAAGCACACAAAAATAGTGATTACACTGTCACTTCTGAACTCTTAGAAAGACTAAAAAGAAGCTAATTCTAATGCACCATCTGTCCAGTTACTTTATGTGCAAAACTTTCCTGACTGGTCCAGAAACTGCATGCAAATTTTTCATTCCTTGTTTGTTTCTAAAGTACTTAAAAAGTTGCCCTTCACATCCCAGTTCAGTGGAAGCACAGTAATGGAGGAGAGCTTGCAAAGGGGCTGCAGGGACAGGGTGTCACCCCCTGAAGCTTCTGGGACACAAACCCAGCCTGTCTTCAGTTCTAACACTACTGTAAGTAACTGCATTACAGCTGACACCGCTGGCCTTTGCAGGTAGGCTACACACTCCTGCTGGGGTTGTCATCACAGTTCTACAGTTGTTTTTCCTGTATCTTGAAATATTGTATGATAATAGAGAGGAAATCTCTTCTTAGCCTGTTATATTAAAATGGTTGTGTTGCCATGTGTTTCTAAGACAAAATACTTACAGAACCTGAATTAATATAGACATAAACTCTTCCTTCTTCTCTGACGGTACTTTGCATTGGAGCACCAACTAGCAAGTCTGAGAGGCCATCTGAATTCAGGTCCACAGCACAAACTGCAGCTCCAAAGTAAGAACCAAGCTGTGTGCACGCAAGAAATCATTACTATTTTTGAATTTTGATGAAGACGTGCTACAAGTTATAAGGTACAGAAAAGTAGTAGGAAATATTTACCTTTTTACCTCTTAGTTCAAATAGAATGTTTAGTTGCCTCTCAATGCTAAAAATGTAGGCCTAAAATGAAAAGAAAATACAAGAGGAGTTCAGCAAACTATAATCTGAAATATTTCCCTCTGCTTTCTCTACAGCACATGCTAGAGAATCAGCAAAGCAACACACAATATCACAAGCTACAGCTATTTACTATTTCCTATCTGCACCTTTCTTTAACACCATAGTTCACATCACTGTTATCTAGATTGTTTACCCTAATTCCTTCTTTAACTTTTCTCCCAGTGAGAAGTCATACCTATTGAATACTTGTCTTTAATATATTAATCCAAGTTGGAAAATCATGTGTGGTTTTGTGGGGCTATATTCTTCAAACCAATAGTATAGACAATCCCTTACTTTACCAGTCTGCTCCTGTTGGGGAGCCCCTCCAATTACTTCTGTACTGTCTGGTGTCAGAAAATGTCCAGCTCCAACAGCATATCCTGTAAATTAAAAATACACTATTCAGTACTGGAAATGCTATGTAGAGGAAAAAAAAGTGGGAGCATGCCACATAAAAGCTGTCAACACCACAGATTATTGTGAATCTGACATTCAGACCTCATGTAAATTAGCAACGAAAACAGAAAAGAAAGTTTTTGAAACAAAAGAAAAAGGTTAATACAAACATTAAGTTTCAGCAAGCAGAAACAAGTGCCAGAAACACTTATTTTTTCCCCAGGAACTCAATTATCTGCCATACTTTAAAAGCCAGTAAATTGCAAACACCTTCTGTTAATGCATATTCTGCAATTGTTCAGTGAGTCCATATTGTAATACAAATAAAAATGATCAAAAGTCCATTCACTGCATTGTGGAAACACTTGATTCAGTTGTTACTCTGACTATCGTAACTGGACTGCAGCAAAATTAAATGTAGTGCTACTCATATGCATGTGCACGTACACACACAGAGCACTGTAGACACGCATGAAAATGTCAGGAATAAAGTGGAGCAAAAGCCTGATTATATATTAAGAAAACATTACATCAGCTTTTGTAAATGAATCTACGTAACAAAGCATCACTGTATGTGTAGACAGATCCTAAACAGGACCATATTTTGGTGCAGACATCCAGACACGGAATTGCAAAAGGAAGGCTAACGCCTCAACCTGTAGCTGCCCAAGTTATCCTTACTCTTTCCAGAATACATTACAGATAAGTTGAAACTGGTAAGACAGTTAACATATTCTGCTACTCTTGCATTTACTGAATGACTGCTGATTTTCACAGCATGCAGAGAGACTAGAAAAATCATCTTGGATCAGATAAGAACAAGCCTTGAATCTTCATCTGTGAAGATAACTGTATAGAATTCAAGTTCTCATTAAGACATCTTTTTCTTTTCATATTTTAAGCTAAAAGAGGTGAACAAAGCAATTTATCATGTAAAGGTCAACACCTAGTTTTTATTTATTTAACAAAAAATTAAGCTTAAGTGGATGAACCTTAATTTACCTCCTCTGACATTTATTTTCTAGTTATTTTGGTTCTGCTAAAGTGTAAACATTGGTAATTCTTAAGAACTTAGAAAAAAAAGCACCAAAGAGACAAAAAAGTTACAGTATTCACATAGTCCTCACTTTTATTTAATGGTATTAAAATGTCTGGTGGGGGGCAGGCAAAAATCACATAATTGACCATTTAAAAGCACAGATAAATGAAATTTTATTTACAACTCCAAAATTCTCTCCTCTTTTCAGAAAACTGACAAACTTAGTAATGGTAAGGTCATTTGCCATTCTCAGATTCCTAAAAGAAACTGTCTTTTACTTTGTGATTTCTTTAAGACAGTTTGTTAAGTGCCTAAGGTTACTCTTTCACCAAGTTCAGCTGACTTATAAGACTGACTGACTTACATAATTCCTTTTAAAGACATCAGTTATTAATCTCCAAGATACTCTGAAGTAGTCAAGGAAATACTACCAAGAGTTATGTATTACCAGCTTCTCTTTCTAACTTCCTTCTTTTTTCACTTGTCTGGTACATAAACAACTTATGGAAAATGTTATGATGCTTCTGCACTTCCTGCAGTCTCTAGTTTCTTAATTATTATTTTTTGATAGTTTAATGAAAACATGGAAATAAAGATGCCAAGCTTCTCAGTCCTTGCCAAAAGAAGGATAGAATAAGTGGATAATTATGTCTAGTCATGTGTTTGAATTACACTTTCAGCATAATATACTTCCACCACTTGGTAGGGATATTTTTATTCACTATTTAAGGGAGAAGTAAACTCAGATTTTAAAAAGAAAAATAATTTTGGTAACAGAATTAGCCCTGAAGAGTTTTTTGCCTTCAATAATTACAAAGATGGAACAGAACAAAACCTGAGGGAGACGAAGGAATGTACCTTTATGTTCTTTAAACCACATTATGTATTATTATGAGGGAACAAAGCAGAGGTTGAAGTAGCATGAAACAATGCAGAATTTAAGGTTTATCACAGCTGCTACTCTAGACACACACAGATGAGCTAATGGTCCGTTTCTTCACTTTCATGTAGAAAGGCCAAGTTTAAAAGGCACAGGCTCTGCTGAGCCAATATGTACCAGGTCACTAGAGAAGTATTAGTGAAACAAACTCCAGCTGATTTCAGATCCTGGATCAGATCGCAACACTCTCCCCAGCACAGTCCTTATACAAGCCTATACCCATTTGCCTGTATCTGGATTCTGGCTATCAATGATTTGACTCATTCATTACAGAAATTCTCATTCTTATACTTGTAGGAGCAGAAATCTGGAATGAGCTTTTTTTCCCCTACGAGGTGGAGTATTTTTTTTGCTATTACTGGAAAGCTGAAGCAAGTGTTCTCTGAAGTTTTTTGTTTGTCCTATGGAAGGTTAGAAATGCTACTAGAAATGCTACTGGTTGACCCTGGCGATCTGCATGTCTGATTACCTTTGACCACCCAGCATCTCTTTCGTTTGACTTTTCTGCAGAGTCCATCTGCAGCCTTTGCAAGGCTCAGTACTGAATTCTGAAGTGTTAGTTAGCCATTTTGTATTTCATAATAGCTATTTCATAACATATGCCTACTTCCTATTGTCAAAGGAGTGGAATTAGAAACAAGAAATGTTTATTCATGAGAACCGGATCTATGAATGGGAAAGTGCAATGGTCACAAGCAAAAATACCATTGCTCAGGGGTTTAGGAAGGACAGACGAGCTTTTCTTAGTGTGTAGTGAGAAGACTGAAGCTGCTGATGGTTTTTGGCATAAACCTTTCCAAATGGTAGCACTAAATTCAGCTAATTACTTGGATATAGGTACATGAGTAGGCACCTCATGGCCTTCTTTGCAGACATTCATAGATAAGGTTTGCCTTCCCACATATCCAGACCAAGACAGAGTTGGAACAAAAAAGAAAAAAATCACAATTGCAGGCAAGTTTGTCTCTAAAGATCATAGCATACTTCCCCTTATTGACAATGCAATTAAGGCTTGCTTGCAGCTTTCACTGTAACAAACTTGCCATATTTCTGGTATATGTGAAATCACTGTCTTTTTCCATGAAAGTCCATGGCAGCATTTCAGACGTAAGAGTGAAGTGCAAACCATTGCTAAACAGAAGCATATCTCTACCTTCTAAATCAAGAAATGATTAAAATTCAGTGGAGAGATGATAATAACAGAAATCCAAAGTTTGAGAAGTTTCCTTGTAAAAAGAACAGAGAGGAAGTCTTATAATAAAATAATATTTAACAAAATCAGAACACATTTTTAGAACTGTCACTTCTGGGATTAATAATGAAAGCACTGAAAATCACTGTGCACTCACTTCAAGACCACCTATTTAGCTTATATTTTCGTAAAGTATAACATATTTTAAGTACCTAGATAACTGCCAAATTTCACTTGGTTATTAGAATCTGTATAAGCATGGATTGTATTCGCAGTTGTATTGTATACAAAAACAGAACCAGTCCAATAAAAGGATCCAGGGGCTCCCATTATAATTAAATCCTAAAAGAAAAGTAAAACAAAGCCATGTTATTGACATTTAAATATTCAGGAAAATAAGCAAAACAAATCAAATGCTTTTCTTTAGATCTCCTTTGAATTCTACAAAATGCTACTGGAGATACATCTGGCTTAGTGCTGGGGTTCACCACTATATTACAGACAATATTTTCCAGAGTTTCTAAAAATACGGTTATTAAAAGCTTTGAGCTGTGACAACAAAACAGAGCAACAAACAGGATATTCTCTTCTCAAAAGAGTTTTTTCAAAATTATAATCTTAGGGTGGAATGGAGATTAAATAATATAGAATATGACTCTGTAAAGCAAGAATGTAAGCATTGAGTGTTACTATTACATCAAACAGATTAAAGAGAATAATAAAACTTCATGCTCTGCTATACTCGTGCTCTTTTTCCAGATGAAAAGTAACTTTGGATTTAGTACGATATAAAAGTATTCTTGGGAATAAAAAGTAAAGGTCTTATTTGCAAATCTTAACAATGTTCAATTTAAAAGAAATTAGAAACGTGATTTTTCCCTCCCACAGTAAAAGACAGTGTTGATGTTTGCATTTACATGTACACTTTAATATATCTATACATATAAATAAATATATAAATAGAGAGAAGTTTGGTATCTTTAGCACACACCTCAATATAAAAACTAGAAATTCCAGCCTGGCATGACCCATAGTTTTCTCCAAACTTTCGTGCAAAATCTGTGAATGGGCAAGAAATATTAAAAAGGATGAGAAGCATGTAGTTTCAGACCTTTTTACCAGCTCTCCAACAGAAGTTGAGACAACTTAGAAAACAAAAACCTCCCCCACTCCCTCCCGCAAAAAAAAAAAAGAAGTTGGTTTTCAGTTGTGTAAGAAAACTAAACCCACTAGTTTCCACTATAGCCTTTAGCTGCAATATAGTATTGTAACAAACTCAAAGCACTATGTAGCACTTGATCACACCTGCCTTTGAAATATTGTGATTTTAAAGACTATACCTTTCTTTTAAAATTGAATGAAACAGCACTAATAGTTTGAGCACCACATCTGGATAAACTTAACTCTTCCACTCTGTAATACAGGTGTAATCTGACTGACAGGCTTATGTATCTTCATAGGAGTTGCCCTGATGCTCCCCTAGTGATATGAAGGGCTTGTGTTATGGCTGTCTTAGACATATTGATATCTATCATCCTTAGCAGTTCTGTTTACATCCAACACTGTTTTCCTGCAATTCTTTGCTAACTGCCTTCCATCAGGGTTCCCTTCATCTCCTGCATGGATTTGTACACTTAAAGTCTCCAAAGATAAAAGCATGATTTCACCAATGCTTGTAAGTCTCCAAAGCCAGCAGTGGGACATTTGATGGCATTACTCTGTCTGCACAGAAAGCCCAGATTGTCAGCTGATCCTTGCATTGGCAAGGCACAGGGTCATGAGATCGTTCTCCTGGATGAGAGGTAGAGAAAGGGAAGGCATGGATGGAGTCACTTGATGTCTTCAGGTCTTGACTCTTACTCTAGCCATGAAATCTTCAGAGGAAGGACCACTGAAAGTCTCATGCCACAGCAGCATCCTCGCCAGAAGGCAAGTAAGGAACAGGGACATGCACTGTGAGGAGGCACCACAGCATCTTTGTATCAAAGGCTAAGGAGCAGATGGCAACAATCACTTGCAGGTATTTCTGCTGCTCTGCTGTGTGACTCCCCTGAGCAGAGAACACAAATGACAAGAGTAAAGGAAGGGAGGATGACCTCTACTGGCCTGTTTTTGAGAAGGGCATGCCCTTCAGTGATCCAGTCTAGGGAGCCAGTATTTCGAAGCCCTGCTTCAACTAATTTTTTGCCTGTTGAAAGCAGTTTTTCTTGAAGTGATAAACATCTTGCTAATAAATTTGCATCATAAGCTGGGCTCGTATCATCAGAACTCAATCTTCAAACGTTTGCTGCAGAATGCCTGCTCACAGCAACACATGCTCTTCACAAACTCCACATCATCCAATTATACATCTCACCCTTCCCCATGAAAGGATCCAAGCATTCTGCTTACCGATATAGCAGGGGCATATTCTTCTGCTCAGTTCAGTTCGAAAGTCAGAAGAGATGGCAAAACAAATACCGTGTGGGAGCTTGTGTTCATTTTTCACGTAAAATACATTTTTCCATCTATGTCCACAAGCCTATGGATATAAAACAAACATGACATTTGACACGGAAGCATAAGGAAGGTGAATGCAGTCTGACAAACAGACACGCAGATCCAGTGGTTAATACGTACAACGATAGATCCATTTTCTTTTGGCTGCCTTGACAAGCTGACACCCAGCCACTCATTATCACGCTCTTCCAAACAAGTCTTCCCACAGGGCTCTCCTCTGGGGTCACCTAGGATACAAAGACCAATGCTCTGAGCAGAGGGACAAGGTGAAGAGCCACGTGGTAAGTATGAGAACTCCATGGGGACATTGAGATAATTTGGATTTGGTGGATGTGATCTTTTGTCTCTGTCTTACATAGGTCATGTAGACTTTTTACCTTCTTCTTGAACAAAAGTACAATTGCACATAGCCAAAGGGATCATACTGGTTCTGAACAAGATAGGTTGGCAGTGAGGATCATTATGAAGATACAAAGTGACCTTACATTCAATTTTGGTAAAGGGCTGGTTTGTAAGTGTTCTTCAGCCCAAAAATTCATAAGAAACACATGTAATACCCATGAGTGCTACCTAAAATCTAGCCTAAAGCAAGCATCTATCCAACTATGTTTCTATTGGAAGCAGACCTTAAAACAATCTCTACTGCTAATGGCTGTCAAATAAAGGGTGTATAACTGCAATGTCTACTGGGGATGTCAGATCATTACATATGTATGTCCTGTGTACTCCTTGCACTGTTGCAATTACTTAGCACCAGCTCTTTGTGTTTGTTCTTAAGGAGAGTAGTTTTTTAAAATGTTAGAGAACATATTGAAATTTTTTCTAACTCCACCTTCTCCTCCTTCCCTCCCCAAAAGGCTACAGTGTTGCCAAGTTAGCAAATATTTGCTTTCTTCTGGAAAGCAGTAGTGGTACCCATGATAAAGAGAAGCTACACATTTATTCTAAGTTATACAAAGCTTTTCATTTGTAAGATGTTTGCATAAATAAGCATTAATCAAATTATTGAATTGGTATTTTCCATGCATCAACATGACAGTTTATGAAAAAACCTTCCTATAAAATAAGGAAACACATTATGTCATTTGAACAAGCTCTTTTGTATAATTTTTAAGACTTTCCCAGATTCAATTCAGTTACTAGTGAACTCAAAACTTTTGAGGTTTAAGGGGTTTACCCAGAAGAGGGCTACCAATGCTGATGGGTACATTGTTTTTGTGGAAGAAAAACCCTTAAATCACCCTCCCTCTCCACAAAAAACCAACCAACCAACCAAAAGAAAAACAAACAAAAAACCAAACAAAACAACTGTGCTCACAGTAGAGCTGAAATTTATTACTGTCCAATGCATTAGAGAGTTTATATGAATACACTCCTAATTTAGTGGACTTGTTCATTTTACAGGACATAAACCTGGACAATATTGATTAAGTATGGAAACAGAATAAAGGGATACACCTAATCTATTCAGTAAGGAGAAAGATGAGAGACTGTGGGCTTTGCTACATATATTCTCATATATGTAGCAACTGACTTAGATGATTTTATACTTAGGATGTCATGGACTTTTTGATAGAAAATATCAGATTAATGGAATCGAGATAATTCTTCATCAAACATTTGCAGGAGTAAGACCTAGCAACCATCCTTATCTCAGAGCTTGTTCCCTACTGTTTTATGACAGGCCTAGCCATTGACATTTTTCTGAAGAAAGTGCTGGAGCCTTGCTTTCTCCTACTCCCATACTACCCCTCCACTTTTTCTACACATCACGCTTTCTCCCTGCTTGGATAGGGACACCAGTAATGCAGTCCAGAACACCTCACGATACTGCAGAAAGGATGACGTACCCTGCATACAACTGTACTCTACCTTCTTCCAAAAACAACACTCTTCACAGGGTCAAGAGGCACCCGACCCTCTCCTTCATCTCTTCTTTACTACTTCCTCCAGCATGCGCCTTGCCCTAAGACATCAAGGAAATAGTATGCAAAATCCAAGTAAACAGGAAACGACCTTAGTACTCAAAATAACATCAAATTCAATTGTCTTTGGGCTAAGAGATTTTATATTACCATAATTTAATAATTCTTCTAGGTCACCTAGGGAATTAACATGTGGAGTCCTTCCAATACAAGCACAAATTAAAATCCACTTTTAAAATCTACTAAAAAGAAGTTGATTTTTCTGCAAATTCTCTATTACTGAGGATTAAGTGATAAACTTCCAAATTATCCTTCTTGGCTAATGTCAGTGAACTTCCACGTACTGAATACCACTTTTCAAAACAAGTTTGGAATTTAGTTTTGGAATTTTATTTTGGAGCTATGTCATGTAAAACTTCTCACTTCCTAAGGGAGACATTTCCATAGTTTGCATGAATTATAGAGCATGTTAATCTGATTGAAACCTCCTCGGAAAACAAAACTCCATTACACTCCCATGTGTAATGTCCCATCCTCTTTTAAAACACAAAAGGCACTTCTGTAAATCCCTTCTAGCAATGCGTTCCATCCTCTTATGACAATGACTTTCCTGGGACTTACTTCATATGCGCATTTACAGGAGATGGAAGAAGTAGAGAAGACCAGGGTAATAAATTTAAACCTCAAGAGGTTTTCTGAGACTTTTTATCATTAAATCAAATAGAACCAGACAAGGATGACTGAGAGATGAGGAAGTTTGGCTTGTCTCAGTACTTCAGTCCTGTGCCTGTTTCAGAGGTTTGTAACGAGAAAAATCACCACCATTCATGCTCATTGGATTGTACTCCCCCTTTCCCTGGCTCCAGTGTAAGTTGATTCAGGATCACTTTGGCCTTCTGCTGACCTGCTGCCTTATGTCTCCTTTCTTTCTCTGACTGGCAAGTATTCAACCACCTTGAAAATTACAGGCCTTTGTGGGAGAGAGAAGTGTGAGCTTGACATCCCAGACACCATGATGAGTCCCTGCTCAGGGTATGACATTATAAAAGCTTTATCAAATGAAAAAATTCAGTATTCTGCACAAGCAACAGAGCAGTACTGCATAAGCTCAAGAGGACATAGCAGCTTGGTTGCCTCAGGGAAAAGGAACATGTGCTGTCATAAAGTCACTGAGAAATAAGTAATTGCCCAGCCTATGTACATCACACAGCTGGATGATACACTTCTGCTATAATCCCCACTGAATGCATCCACAGAAACACTACAATTACATATAAATAAGGTCACAACTTATAAAGCCACTTCTAGCTTTGGCCTCAAGGACTATAATACAGATGTTTGCAATGTCATCTGAGAAACCAGTTTTATATAACTTGCTCCAATGTTTTCCATGTCCAACAGCTTCCCATGATCCTTTTTATCCTCCAATAACTCCTCTGGTCCAATTGCTAACTGATGAAAACTGTGAAGTCTGCTGCAAAGACAGTAAGCCTTCTGATATCCTGCTCTGAGATGTCAGGGCCTCATCAGTCTCTCTTTCACTTGCCCAGGGAAATTCTCTCTCTTTTCATAGATCTGATAGGTCTTATTCCTCTTACATCTCTCAAATGACTTTTACCCAAAACATTTCTAAGTGACACCAGTTTCTATACCTCTGCATCAGACTTAGGTGCAGAAGGTCCCACGTTCCTTGGAACAGTATGGCTCTTTGAAAGGAGATCACTGGCAGGGTATGAGCAATTCAAGTGAGATAAAAAAGCCAAGCTATCAAAAGCCAAACTTACTGAAATCAATATTGAACAAACACAGGTCAGCCCTTTGGGGAAAACCATTAACTGTTTGCTTTTCCCTTGTAATGATTCAGCTGGGGGAGCTAGAGGGCAATTTGTTCATAGGTTAATTACAGCAGAGCCTTAAAGGAAGGGTGCAAGACTGAAACCGCAGGCAGAGCTCTCTGGTCTTATGTTAAACTGCATGCACTGAATTTACTGTATACATTTGTAGTTAAAACTATTTTTTTAGACTGGGTGGCAAATTGCATAAATTGTTTTCTATATATTTTAGCCAGCAACTTACACTGTTACAAATCTGAGAGCAATGTTGTTGAAAAGTTTCTGTAATGTTTTGTAAGTCAAAAATGCAATAGGTCAAAACGTCTAAAGAATTTTGTGTAAATTCCTCTGCATTAATCCGTGACTACCCCAAACTAATATGGGCAAGACTAAAAGATAGACAGTAAGTGCTCCAAGTAATAAACTGAACTTGAAGCACTGTATTTTGTACTTGTGCCTAGGGTTTGATTACAAGTCTCTGCATCTAACATAAGCCATTATTTAAAAATACTACGAAAGCAAATAAATCTGCAGAATAGAACACTTGACACCCTAGCCAGAAGTACTAGAATTGGAAAAGAAACTCTCAAAACTCCTCAATTTATCAGTCAGAGAGATATTTAAAAGTGCCAATGAGGGGCTGGAAAGACAAAGACTTGCTAGTTATCTCATGGCAGTATATTTCATGGCTCCTTTTGGCTCTTAAACCAGGCCAGGCCCCTGCAACACCTTGAACAACATGAAAATTCTCTGAAGTATGTCTGGATGAGTTATCTCAGACACTGTGATGACTGCAGCATAAGTCTATTCCCAGCAACTCTTTTGCTACTAAGAAAGAAGATAGAAACATGTGACATAAAAAAATACAACAGCAGTTTTGTGTGATCGGAGGCTTTGTAATTTTGCATGTATCCTACATCAATTAGTTATGCCACTTTCAAGGCTACTTTAGTAAAATGTAGCAACAAAGTGGTTTAACACATTTATGTCTCTAAGTAATTCACATCTATTCATTACAGAGGCCCAACATTTAGAAAGCCACTTCTATTGCCTGTTGTCATCTCTACATTTCTATGACTTATAATTAGAAACTTACTATCTCAAAGATTCTTTTCCTAGAAAGAAATGTGAATTCAAATACTTAAGAGAAAGAGAGAAGCAGTTCTCAATGCGCCCATCCAGCAATGTCCTCACATATTTTTCAAAGAAAATTACCCTGTTTTATAAGATCAAAACCCAAACTTGGCACTAGCAAAAATCCAAGCAGAAAAACTGAGGAGGTCACTGTCTTAAAGACTCAGCATTGATAAAACCATTATATCCAAAACTTGTTGACAGCCTGAATGAGTCAGACAAGAGATAATTAAGTTCAGCTTTGTAATTGTAAGTTCCCTTCTGTATTTCTGTGACTGCTCAGCAGGATGGCAGAGGCTTAACCACCCTCAAATACTATCCCACTTCATTTACATCCCATGCACCACAGCTGCCTTTGGCTTCTTCATTGACCTCACTGACCTGTTTTACAATACAGCACTTCTTTTCAGTATCTATTTATCCTCAGAAATACTATAGATGAAACCTGGCAATGTAAAGATGTCATCTAGTACTAATGGAAACCTACAATTTGGAAAAATCTGGTGTGGTACCACCAATTTTTAAAGAAGAGCAGGATAGAACAGTAAACTACATTGTGTAACCTGCAGCCTCTAAAGTTGGAAATAGAGGCCATGTTAAATTGGAACCACATAAACATTTTCATACATCTGTTGCATCATTTCATTTAGAATCCCCTAAGCTATTGAGGAAAAACCCATCAAATTACTTCTTTAGAGCTTTTGTTTCTCTACTGGCTAAATGAGTAAGTTGAGAAGTACAGCAGATGTATGTAGTTTTGAAAGAACCTGAAACTTTCAATCCTTCCTTTCCTTCCCCCACACTGTGAAGGACTATTTTTACCTCCAATCCAGGAGTAGGGGTTTATTGCCTCCTAGTACATGCTATTTCACCACTTTAGTTGACCTCTTTGCCTTTTTGCAAGCCTCCTCTTACAAACAAGCAGTTGGAGAAAAAAAGCTCTTTGTTATATATAACTTTTCAATTGATCTAATATTGGAATGAAATAACTTAGAAAAACCCCCACAACTATTTGGGTTGGTGGAAGCTTTATTTCTGTTCTTCCTAGTAACAACTGCTTGTCTTTTCTTCATGTGACTACAAGAAAAGCACCACTGACGTATCTTAGGTTTTTGCAGCTCCGTTACAAAAAATAACTTCTATTCGTAGTAAAATAAAATAGGTAGAACCTATCAGTTCTAAGCTTTATGCACAGACATGTAGAGAAATAACTGTTGTAACATTTTTGCCATGGAATGCTGCGTTCTGCCCTGAAGGCCCATCAGGTCATGGCGCGCAATTTGAAAGCTCCTTCTCACACTTCTTATCCTTATTGGGCGGCGCAGTCATAGTTCTAACGGATCCAATGGTCTCAGTCACAGCAGGACAGGAAGTTCAGGAAACTTTCTATGCGTAGCAGAGGGATAGAATGAATAGCACTGTATGCAAGGGTGACAGGAAGAGAGCCTAAAGTAACTCACACATGTTCATGTTAACCCATTGCAAAGTCTTCTCCTTTTTAACAAGTATCAAACACTTGGAAGTTGGATAAGTGCATCCAGTTACATCTCCAAACTATGGAGGCTGCCGAGGTGGAGAGGAGTTAGGTTAAATGGAGTAGCTAGAAAAACTGATTTGGTAAATATTAGCTTTGTTCCCCTGAAACTCACTTTTTCAACAAATCTCCAAGCAGGGAGAACCCATCTGGCAAGACAAGTGTGGTTCAGGGTTACTTTAGGGTGACTTCTATGAAGGGAAGGCTTTGAAGAAGAAAAGATGATTCAGGTACATACTTCTACTCCTCCATTCCTGAGCTAATTGCATCCGGCCCCTGCTCCGAAAGTTGCACTAGCTCTCTCGAGCAGTACGGGACTCGGACCGAGCCTCTCACGGCACTTTTGACCCGCGCGCTCAAAGGTGCGAAACATGGCTGTGGGAACGGGCGCTGTCACACCCAACTTCTCCCAAGCGAGTTCTGGTGCATGTTTTCTGTCTTGATGCCGCCGTTACCGCCCTTTGGCAATAGCGCTTTAGCGAGAGGTAAACCCCAGTTTAACCCGGGGAGGACCCGGCACAACCCGCCCGCAAGGCAGCGGCGGAGGAGCCGCGGTGCGCGCAGGGCGGCGGGCACCAACCCTCCCCGTCCCGTCCCATCCCGCCGGCAGCGGGACCAGCCCTGCTGCCCGCCCCGCGCCGGCCGGGGGCTCCCCGCCCACGACTCACCCAACTGGAGCTGCTCGCACTGCCCGTGGGGGTTCCCGCCGATCCGGCACCGAAAAATGGCCCCGGGGTTGACCACCGAGGTGTTGGCGGGCCAGGTAGCCCGGGGCGCGCCTGCCACCAGCCTGGGGAGCAGAGACGGCAGCGTTAGGAGCCGCGGCCGCGAAAAAGCGCGACGGGCCTCCGCGGGGGCGGCCCGGCCGGGGACTCACCATCGCTCCTCGCCGTGGCGGTGCAGGAGAACCGAGTAGCCGAAGAGGGTCCCGTTGCCCCCGCGGAAGAGCAGCGCGTGCCGGGTGTCCAAGTTGTAGGGCCGCGCCGTCGGCAGGCACTGCCACAGCAGGAGCAGCGGGGCGGCCCAGCCCGCAGCCTCCCGCGCCCTCCCGCAGCTCCGCATGGCTCCGGCCGGCTAGCGGCACAAGGGCGCCCGGCGCCGGCTCCCTCTTCTCTCCGCTCCTCGCTCGGCGAGAGGGCAGCGCCGCGCCCCGCCCTGCCTTGCCCTGCCCTCCCCTGCCCTGCCCTGGGACGCCCCGCGCTGCCTGCGCTGCCTCTGCTGCCGCGGTGGCCGGGGCGGCCTCCCCGCTGTTCGGGGTGGGGGTGTCCCCTCCGGATGGGGGAGTCGCACGGCCGCGCCGCCGCCTCCTCCCGCGCTGCCGCAGCCCCTCTTCCTCCCCAGGCGGCGGGGGTCGGGTTTCTCCCCGCCCCGTCTGCGCCCAAGGTGGGCGCAGCGGAAGGGGCACGGCTCCTGGGACCCCGCGTCCTCGGGCAGAGCACGGCCCCGTGGGACGCTGCCATCCCGACCCCGGCGGGATAGAGAGGGGGGCGGCTCCTCTCGCCTCACCTCGGCACACCGGCCCGTGTGCCAGGCCGGCGGAGCGGAAGGGAGAGCCGGAAAGCTTGTCCTGAAATCTCCCTCCGCACGCCGGCCAGGCAGCTCCCCCCAACAGGACCGTTTTCTGGGAACGGAACTGTGGAGAGGATTGAGTTTTCCTATCAGATTTAGGAAAAAATTCCAATACCCCTGTACTCTAAGCCTTCCCCCACTGTGGCCGTGCTGAGGGGGTCTTTCTTGCTCTCCCCCGGTGGGGGGTATTCTACTCCTGAAACCAGTGCCACAGCAGCAGAGTACAGTCAGCCTTGCTTACCCATATTGCACAAGACTGCTCACTGCTGATGGCTCCTTCCTTCTGGATGGGATGAAATCAGAACAACCCCCTATTGCTTCTTTTGTGTTTTAGAGGAACTTTTTCACGTTCCTGTTCAGCTCTTCAGTTGCTGACAAAGTTACCAGCCATGTCTTAAGACAGCATGGGAACAAAGGAAAATGAGGACTGTGGAAGAGATCTGGTATTTAGCAGGCCTTGGAAGGTCTCCCTTGGTCTTAGTGAGGAGCTTTACTGTGCATGTTTTCATCAGATCAGTCACTGACTCTTGATTTAGCTCACACTGAAGTGTGTGCATCCTGAAGTGTGTGTCTGTTACTTCTACGTACAAACCTTGCCTCATTGAAGTCCTTTGAATACCAGGGCTTCCCTGTTGCTATAATTCCTATATATGGATAACCTATCCATACGTATAATGGTATTTTGAACCTAAGGAACAAGAATGGAAGTACTTCTTCAAAATGAAAGTTTAGTTACAAAGAGTTCTTATTGTATCTGGAATAAAATCCAGTATGATTGCAACTACTGAATCTTATACAGTAGAAATTAACTGGGAGATGGCACACTACCATCCTCTAATGGAAATTCAGAACATGTCATTTTAAGCTGCTTGGAATTAAACCCCTCCCCCCTTTCATTTCCATTCAGTTGGTAGAAGTGTGGAAAGTTCAACACTTCTGCAAAATGCTGAGCAACTACCAGAGCCATTGCAGCCAATGCACTGAACCAATGCAGGAGTGAGATGTCTTGTCTTCCTAAGTGCATGCAGATGTGTAGCTCCTGGAATGAGATCAGCACACTGCAAGATCTGATAGTCAGTCAGTCAGTCAGCAGTGTATCTTTTTCCAAGTCCTCATCTCTAGAGCCATCAGAAGGCTTCCCTGGATGACACTGATGTGGAGCAATGACTGTTTCATGTAAAGGAGTCAAACAGCTTCTCAGCTGCTATTCATCTTCCTTCCAACTACTGACATCAAAGGAGTTAAAACAATCAACAGCAGCTGTGAATCTGCATTTCTACCACTGAAGTTTTCACCCTCATTTTCAAAGCAGCAAAACAAGCATGATTCAAAACTGAAATGCTAAATTGTGGTTTAGTTGGTGAGAAATTGTAACGTGGTTGCACCACCACCCCAACAATTTAGCCAGTTCTGAGTGACTTACAGGCTTTTCTGCAAGAGATTGTTACAGTTCCTGGATTTGTTTCTTAATTAATAACAAAAATGGACAAAAAGCTCTATGCCTTAAACGACAGACAAGGGAACAGTTTTCCAGACTCCTTTTCCCTTGCAAGTTTATGTCTTAAACAGCTCTGCTCTTTCTGCTCTTTCTCAAGACCAATCTTAAATCTATCGCTTTACAAAAAGCTGATGCAGGAACCATGCAATGGAGTTTGAGGGATCTCTTTGCGGCTGTGTTTCTAAGCATTTGGGTGAACCCACCCTAAACCTCAATTAGATGACTTGTTTCTCACACTTGGCGTTGTAGCTTATCAATGAGTATGGTATAGGTGAGGGGTAAATGTGTGCAAGCTGCTTATGGCTCTCAGAGAAATTACAGCTTCTTGAGATCTGTACTACTGGGAGAGTTTAGGAAAAGAAAGACACTGCTGAAAGTTGTAGGGACTTTGTAGAACCTCCAGTCTAGTGGCTCCTGGACTGCTCAAGAGGGTGTTGAGATGGTGGCAGGGTTCCTAGTTGACAGGAAAAGGTAGATTATGGGATTCAGTTATTGACATGTAAATAGCTGATTGTCAGCTATGATACGAAGTTGAGAATTGTTTTGTACCCCACCTGTCAGGATGAAACAGTTCTGTTGTCTCCTAGACTTTGCTAGAGTGAATGTGATCATGATCCACCGGGCATCAATAAAATAATTGGAAGATGAATCTATTGGAGAGTGAGAAATCTATATTTTGAGAAATATCTGAGGTTTTTAGTACCTCAGATGCACATGCAGGTGGAGGACCAGTCAGAGAGCAAAATCAATGCAAACTGACAATATGGAGTAATAGAGACAAAACTTGGGTTTTATTAGGAATTAGGAGAACTTGCAGAAAAGGTGGAACCAACACTGGCAGCCAGGTACCTATATTTACAAATAATAAAATATATATATATAAAGTTACCCTGAAATAATAAAAAGAAATTCTTCCCAAAACATATTGCCACTATACAATCAGAACAGCACATCTCCCACAGTTGTCTGTGAATTAATAGCACTAGAAGCAAAATATCACAGTGACTTGCTCTGTTGATTGTCATTGGTTCACCATCTAAGGCAACTTCAGAGGAGCCATTGGAATTAAGCATATTGGTCCACAGTTTGGCAGCAGTTTTATAGCCCATGCGTGCACTTCGTCTGACTACCCTCATATCTGACTGCTCATTCTTTAATCATACTGCTGCCTCTGTTACCCTCATCCTGTTCAGTACCAGAGCGGTGAACCAGATCAGAGAAGTGATCTGGGTTAAAAATAATCCAGCAAAAAACCCCAAACCTAGGTCAGATTTGTAGCTTGTATGTGTGGCTGGCCAGTTGTAGTGGTTGTATTAGCAGGGTGGTTTAAACCAATACTGCAGCTTCAGGAGCTTTCTAAGGCAACAGCCTTAACTTTCTAGAAGTAGCAAGACTCTGCAAAATTAAAACCTACACATCTACTTTAAAGTGGAGCAGAAATCCATTTCCCCAGCATTGCTCTCAAGGATCACTGGAGCTCAAGGACCTTTGTCCAAATACTCTTCTGCCTCAGTCCTAAGGGGTCCAACTTTAAACAAACTATATTAGAGTAAAATGGAATTACTAGTCCATAAATGTCAACATACAACATCATGTGAATAAGGTAACCATACCTTGGTTACCTATGAAAGATCATATACGGTCCTTCAAGATTTAATATTTCAAATGCAATTATGAGGTGGTAACTATTACTGAGATTTTGATTTGTTAGTTTTTGCATTTGGGAGGAGTATGAGAGAAAGTTGCTGGGAAAACATAACAAACAAAAAATTTGCTTTCCCCATAGCTGTTCGGTTTGGGAAAAGCAGTGGTTTGGGTCTTTAATCACTCTGTCAACATTGTTTACCTCTAATACATGCCCTTGCTGGTGAGAAGAAGGGAAAGAAAATCACTGTAGGAAGAACATAGCGATTCCGAAAGTCTGTCATTAGCTTTCTTCTGTGGAATCTATACTACTCCCATTTTGATTCCCTAATTTGGAAGGCATTTGTATTAAATTAGGTCCTGTGTGTGGGCTGGTGTTGAGTAACTGATCACATGACTGCTTTTGCTCTGTTGCAAACACATGAAAGCACATGATCCTAAAAATCTTCATGGATATGCCCACTTTCAGCTGTGTCTGTCCTTGCTCTCCTGTGTGTCATGTAAGCCCACTGCTGCTTATGAGAGACTGCCTCCAAATCTACTCTCAATTAGAAATAAAAACAATCAGTGGATGTGTTCCTGTTCCTAATTAGAAAGAGTTGAAAGTTTTATTTTTAAATTGTCTAAATACTTAAATACAGGTATTTTAAATTTCAAATTTCTAAACCTTTGTGATTTACCAAAACATGAGAAATCTAGGATTTTGGTCAGACCATAACTATGTCTTGTTTTTCCTGTAAGCTTCCCTCCAGACACCCCGCAACAATGGCAGTGGGCCATTAAGTCTATTATTCATATGCTGTCATCTGAGAAATTATAGAAGGCAAATACACTTTTACACTTACCCCTAAGGTTCTCTTCAAGAAACTTCATCTTCTTTCTGCTGTATGAGCTTGCATGAAGAGGATATATTGTCCACTGACAAGTATAATTAAGCACAGATGTCTGAGGCACCAAAAAGCAGCAAATGTGAGCGAGGGTCCTAATTTTATCATTTTGCATATGTTCTCTTCAGAAATCTGAATTTCATTTAGGATCAGTTAAAGAGGAACAAGCTTCTAGTTTAATCAGCACATATCGTTACGGTCATGTGATGTCTTCTTAGGAAATATTTTCAAGAAGTTTTTCCTCCCGTGAACACTTGTGCTGCTGAAGTACAGACAGACTTCCCAAAGGAGCTTTCCAATATTTAAACATACAATAGTGTCATACAGACAATGACTATGGCAACCTGCCTAAGAAATGCAAACAATAGATCATTATAGTTAACAACTGCTTAACTAAGAACTGCATTTTGATTTACAGATTGGTAAGACCAGAAATTAATCACGATATATGTATGTGTGATTAA